CCACAGTGATCCAGGGGTCCCCAATGAGCCAGGGGTCCCCACAGTGAGCCAGGTCCTCTGGGGTGGCTGCCTGTGCGTCTCCAGAGGACCCCGCGGTATGGACGACACCAGGCCTGGAGGTGGCCTTCCCTGGACACCTGGAGGGTCACTCTGCAGAAGCCTGTCGCCTGGCCTTACCTTCAATTGGCACCACGGATGGCTCTTTTATGGAAGGAGAGATGGCGCGCTTCTCCGCCACCGCGGCCTCGGCCAGGCGCCCCAGGGCGCTCAGCGGGGGCGTGGAGGACAGCTTGGGGCGCTTGGTGAGGCCGGTCAGCGCCGAGGCGCCCGACAGAGCGGCCGCCGCGTCCCGCTTGCGCTCCGAGGGCAGGCCGGACGGCGCGGGCTTCAGCAGGGTGGACGCGGCTTTGGCCTCGCTGGCCTGACCCTTGGAGCCCAGAGCGATGAAGTCTCCGGGCGGCGGGTGGCCTGCGGGGAGGGGAGGGAAAGGCGCGACGGTCAGCCAAGGTGCGCGGGGAGGCCGGCGGAGGACGGGCCAGCAACAGGCCGGCCCAGGGCCTCCGCTGGCGCAGCAGAGCCGAGACTGGCAGGTGTGGGCGGCCACGGTGACAGTCCCAGGGCCATCCTCACATCAGGCTTCCCCCTGTGACTGCTCAATCCAAATCCCGTCCCTGCAACAGGGACTGAGGCGCGGCAACCGGCCACGGTGGCCGTCAGGTCCCAGGGCCTGTGCCTCTGCACGCCGCGGGCTCGCCGACCCAACGCGTCCCCGGGAAGTCGCCCACCGAGGCCCGCGGAGACCCGGACCCCCGCCCCCTGGCCGCGGAGGGGACGCACCTGAGGGCTTGGCCGCGGCGCTGGGCCGCCGCACGGTGGTGGGCTTGGCCCGGTTCATCACGCCGCCCTCGCTCCTTTCGGCTGGAAGTCGCTGGGTCGCTCGTCGTCGCCCCTCACGCCGCAGGCGCCGCCGGCCCGCAAGGCCGCCCAGAGTCGCGACCTGTGGCTTACAGCCCACCACTCGGGCTCCCCGCCGCCACTGCCGCTCCGGAATCAGAAACCAACCTTCCGGGAAAACCGGAAACAAAATAGCACGGCGACCGGAAGGGAAGGAGAGGGAGCCAGGGCCCACGGCGAGTGCGCAAAATCTGTAGCGCCCTCTGGAGGCGGGATGGCTGATGCCGAGCCTTGCGGGCTGACGCTTTATTCTTGCCAAAGAAGCTGATATGTTAAGTGACACGCTCAGGGACACAGCTAGGAAGGGTGGCAGCAGGAGTCAGATCACTGCTTTTCCACTGACTGGGCACCACCTGCGTTTCTCCGTAACCAGCCGGCCACCTGGTCTCCCTCTGCCTAGGTGCTGCCTACACTGGCCTTCCGCCTGCAGGCTGCCGGCAGGACGGAACCAGATTGTCCACCTGGTGGGGGATGTCTGGGTCCAGGCAAAGGAACCCAGCCACTGGGGCAGTGTGAAGCTCCAGGTCGATCCATGGGGTCAATGTCCCAGTCCTGAGTGCCCTGTGATAGATAATGCCACCAGCCCCACCTACCACGCCCCACCCAAGCAGGCAGCTGGGTACCCGGCAGAGGAGGGAGGATTCAATGTGTGAGTGTGTGTGTGTGTGTGTGTGAGTGTGTATGTGTGTGTGTGTGAGTGTGTGTGTGTGTGTGTGTGAGTGTGTATGTGTGTGTGTGTGTGAGTGTGTATGTGTGGTGCTGGGGATGGAACCCAGGGCCTTGTGCATGTGAGGCAGGCACTCTACCAACTGAGCTATATCCCCAGCCCCACTTCTTTTAAAATATTTTTTTTAGTTGTCAGTGGACCTTTATTTATATGCAGTGCTGATTGAAGCCAGATTTAAAGGTAGGTAGTCAGTGTAGTTAGGTAAATCGGGTCTAATATCGAGTGAAATCTAAAATGGAGGCCATGTGGAGAATGAATTCCCGGAAAAGTTGAGCAACTCTCGGAATGTTAATGAAGCCCAGGAAACAGCCCCCAACAGATTTGGAGAAAGCCCATCCCAAAGAAATGTTAATGGACAGCAAACTTGAAGATGCTGATTACTTATTTGGCCCACCTGTGTCCCACCCCTTGGGCCTTCCCACCTACATTCCATCACCGAAAACTATAAAATGGAGAGACAACTGCACTTCCCCGGATTCCACCTCTTGGGTCCCCTTCTTCCTCCGGGAGAAGTCTTTTCTGCTGTCCTTTAATAAACTTGTATTTTCCACTCTGACCTTGCCTCCGCGTGCTTCTCTGGTGTTATACTTCAACGTTGGGGAAGCAAGGACTCGTCACCGGTCAACAGCGGTAACACTGAGACTCGAACCCAGTGCCTCACACATGCCAGGCAAGTGCTCCACCACGGAGCCCCAGCCCCAGCCCTAGGGAGGATCCGTTTTTCACTGAAGATCTCCATTTATTTTAATAGGCAAAACCCCATAGTGGCAAAACCCTAAAGGATCAAAAGATTAAAGAGGGGCGGGGCAGAGGCTGGCTCAGTGGCTGAGCGCTGGCCTGGCATGCGTGAGGCACTGGGTTCCATCCTCGGCACCACAGAAAAATAAACAAATAAAATTAAGGCATCTGTCCGTCTACAACTACCAAAAAAAAAAAAAAAGTCCCCTTCGCACCTCTGACCGCAAGCCAGTGTCCTGCCCAGAGTTGGCTCCTGCCTCTCCTTAGCTCGCCCCTTCCAGCACATTCTACACACACCAACAACCACAGGTGTGCGCTCCCCCACCTCTGAGTGCTGAGGGTGAAGGTGGCCCGCAGCTCTGGCTGTCCCTGGGAGCTCACCCCAAAACCAAGAGCAAATCCCTTCTGCTGAGAATGGAGACCGAAAGGTGGAAACCTCGACCCCGACAGGTGCCACAGAATCTGGGAGTGGAGATGGCCCCCGGGTCCGGCGGGTCTCAATCTGTACGTGTGCAGGGATTTGGAAGATGGAATATTTTTTCGGGGGGGAGGGCTGGTGGCAGTGCTACCAGGGATGGAACCCAGGGACGCTTAACCACTGAGCCACATCCTCAGCCCTTTTTGTTTAGGGTCTTGATAAGTTGCTGAAGCTAGCCTCAAACTTTTGATCCTCCTGCCTCAGCCTCCCAAACTGCTGGGATTACAGGCGTGCACCACCACGCCCAGCTCCAGCCCTTTTTATTTTTTTATTTTTTTTTTAGTTTTAGGTGGACACAATGTCTTTATTTTACATTTATGTGCTGCTGAGGATCGAACCCAGTGCCCCACGCATGCTAGGCAAGCGCTCTATCACTGAGCCACCACCCCAGCCCCCCTGTCTATTTTTTATTTTGAGTCAGGGTCTCACTGAGTTGCTTAGGGTCTTGCAAAGTTGCTGAGGCTGGCCTCGAACTTTCCATCCTCCTGCCTCAGCCTCCGGAGCTACTGGGACTACAAGTGTGCCCCACCGCGCCCAGCAATCCCTCTCTCTTTTTTAGAACAGCTTGGTGGCGGTTTAGTTGATACCAGGGAACTGCAGACATTCACAGGGCATGAGCTGATGTGCGTTGACACGGGCACACACCTGGGCAGCCATTGCAACCAGTAAGATCCCCCATGCTGCCGTCCTTGCCCCTGTCCCAGGGTGTCCCCAGGCCAGCACCACCCGCTTTTTCATCACCAGGGAGGGTTGGTTGCTGTGTGGAGTTCTGTAGACACTCCAGGGACCACACAGCGGGGCTCTTTTTCTGTCTGGCTTTTTTCACTTTAAGATCCATCGGCTGCGAGGTGGATAGTCTGCCCCCTCCTTTGCTGTGCGGGGTTCCCTTGCAGGGATGGCCACATCATCCACCCGCGGATGGGACTGGCGGGAGGGACGGAATGCATGTCCTGTGCCTGCAGGGGTGTCTCATGACACGGGATCACATGCTCTCCCACCTTCCGCAGGTCTTTGGTGAGCAGTCTCCAAATTTGGTCTTCAAATCCTGTGCGGGGGTGGGGAGGGTTTGTATTGAACCCAGGGGCGCGTCACCACATCACCACGGAGCCACCTCCCCAGCCCTTTTTGTATTAAAGACAGGGCCTCCCTGAGTTGCATAGGGCCTCACTAAATGGCTGAGGCTGGCTTTGAACTCACGATCCTCCTGCCTGAGCCTCCTGAGCCACTGGGATTACAGGCGTGGCCTACCGTGTCCGATTCCCGTGCTCATGTTTTATTGGAGTTTCTCCTTATGTTTGAGTTCTTCCCTGTCCCCTCTTCCGCATCTGGTCAATCTTACAGCTTCCTAAGGGACGCAATGTCAAAGTATGCCCCGGGTCCCCAAGCGCTTCTCACCGCCAACTCTGCGGCCTGCAGGTCCTTAGGAGCTCACCCCGCAAAAAAGGTGTCCAGGAGATTGTCCCCCACCCCACCCCACCCCCGCTCGTTGAAGTCAAAGCAGTGTTCTGTACCCATTTCCTGTGGCTTCTGTGACAAGTCACCACAAACCTGATGGCCTGAAGCCACAGAGATTTCTTCTCTGGCAGTTCTGGAGACCAGAAGTCCAACATCGAGGTGTGGACAGACCCTAGGGGACTCCAGAGGCCCGTCCTTCCTGCCCCTTTAGCTCTGGGGACTCCTTGGTGGGGACCACCTCACCGTCTCTGCCTCCGTCTGCACACCTGCTGTCCTCTCTCTGTGTCTCTGGGTGCCGGCCACTCCTGTGTGTCTCCTACAAGGACACCTGCCAATGGCTCCAGGGCCACCTGAACCCAGGATGGTCTCATCTCAAGATCCTTCCCTTCATCGGTGAGGACCCAATTTCCTCCCGCCCTCCCACCCTGCGGGAAAGCCTCATCGTCGTTTGGAGGTTGGGTGGACGTGTATTCGGGGGACACCATTTACCCACTGCCACTCCACGCTGAGGACCAGGTCTGGGTGACCAACTGGCTCCCTCTGGGCCCCACTCCAGCCCCCTCTTCCTGCTTCCGGCTCTGCTGGGGGGGGGGCCTTGCACCTGCCATTTCCCATGGTCTCCCCTTCGCCTCTGCAAACCTTGTCCTCTTTCCCTCCCCTGCCACCGATGCCCAACCCCCACTAAACCGGGTGTCACCTCTGTGTCTTTCTTTGTGACACTCGTTGGCCCCTGAAATCCCCTTACAGGTGCCCTTGGGTATCCACAGGGATTGGTTCCAAGACCTGAGGACACCAAAATCTGAGACACTCTTGTGTCCCCTCATGCAGAATGGTGTAGTATATTGCAGAGGACTTACGTCCTCCCCCTTTCCTCTCTTGTTCTATTTTTTATTTTATTTATTTATTTTTTGGTGCCAGGGATTGAACCCAAGGACGCTTAACCTCTGAGCCACGCCCCCAGACCTGATTTATTTACTTACTTATTTTTGCTTTGAGACAAGTTCTCACTAAGTTGCCGAGGCTGGCTTTGAACTCGTGATCCTCCTGCCTCAGCCTCCTAACCTCCTAACCCGGCTTCCCTTGTTCTTTAAGTCGTCTCTGGATTATTTTTAATGCCGGATATGATGCCAACGCTAACTAGAGAGCTACCATACTGTGTCATTTAGGGATTAGTGACAAGGGACAAAAAAAGGCTGTATCTCTTTGGTCTCCTTTCTGTCCTGTCTCCCTGCCACCAGCCACCAGGGGCTGCACACCTGTGCCACAGGTTGCATGAAGGATGGGCTTAACAGCCTGGCGTAGAGCTGGGCTTCTGCTGTCAGGCAGGCCTGCACTGCCCACCGTCAAGGGTCCCCTTTGCTGTGACCCAGAGCTGCGGTGAAGAGACACGACACCCCACTCACCCACCCACCCAGGAACCCCTGTGTGGCACAGCTTAGCCTCGGAGCCCCACTGAGGCACTTCTGGGGGAGACTGAAGCAGCCCCCAGAACCCACCAGGGCCAGGGCCTGGGGCAGCCGGTGGATGGGCAGGAAAGGGCGGCCACTGCTGGCCTGCAGCTGTGTGTGGTCTAACTGCCCTGGTGCCAGGAAGCAGCTGCTACCGTCTGCACTGTGGGTCTCAGCGCCCAGCTTGGTGGGCCCAGAGCCCCAGCTCAGACCAGGCTGGCACTTCCTGAGTCCTCCCTGAGAGCCTCGGCTCCTCGGGCAGCCCCCCGCCCTCCCACCCTGCGGGAAAGCCTCATCCTCCTGGGGCTCTGTGGGCAAGGACCCAAGGCAGGCCCCCAGCTGAGGCCCTGGCCGCCACACAGGGACGCTGGGGCTGCAGGAGCAGAGGCCCACCCAGTCCTGCCAGCCACCTGGTGACCCGGCTGCTGGCAGTCAAGGGACAGTAGGTGTGACTGAGGAAGAGGAAGGAGGCCAGGAGGTCTCTGCTGGGGACTCAGGCCTGGCCAACTGCCCTGTCCTGGGGCCGCCTCCTCAGCCCTCACACTTCTGTCTCCCCTCTCCAGGGGCCTCTGCGGGACCCCCCCACTCCCCCAGGTAAGTTGGCGTGGCTCCTGCTGAAGCAGGTCCACCCCTGTCCACACCACACTCTGGGCCTCCAGGCTCAGCAGGGTCCCCACCACAAACCCCCCAGTCCTGTCCTCTCGCTGTCCCAGCACACTCCTGGGCACCCGCCCCCAAGTCATGAGCGCCACCAGGCCCCAGGCCAGGGGCTGTGGACGCCCCACGGGCTCTGCCTCAAGAAACGACTGTCAGCCACAGGATGCTCCAGGGCCTGGTGTCTCCGGTTCCCATGACGCAGCTGCTCCCACTGGCTGCTGGGTGACGAGCAACCCCCAAGGCCCACGGGGCGAACCTCCACTTCATGCTCCCACAGGCGCCAGGCCAGCCAAGCCAGGTTCAGAGTGTGAAGCCCTAGGAGGATTCTCCTCACCAGGCACAGTGGCCACCACAGACGGTGGGGACTCCGAGGGTGCAGCATGGGCCTCTCCAGCACCAGGCTCCCAGCACCAGGGCCCAACCAGGAGAGGGCTGGACTTGGGGGCCAGGCCACACAGAGCACCAGGCCCTGGCATATCTGGGGCTGGGTTCTGGCTCACCCTGTATTGGCTGTGTGATACGATGTGGGCTCCCTGCTGAGCCTCGGTTTACCTACCTGGCAGATGGACACACAGGGGGCCTGCCCTCCTGGGCTTGCCAAGAAGCCTCCGCAAGAAGATGCCTGGGCAGAATGTCCCCTGCTAGAGAACATTCCTAAGCCTACACGGGCATGCTGGTGCACAGCCGTAATGCCAGCTCCTCGGGAGGCTGAGGCAGGAGGATCCCAAGTTCAAGGCCAGCCTGGGCGACCTAGTGAGACCCTGTCTCAAAATCAAATCCAAAGGGCTGGAGAGGTCTCTTAGTGGGTACCATCCCTGGTATTGAAAAAAGAAGGAGAAGAAGAACTTCCCTGCACAGAGATTCACTAAAGTCTGCAGTGAACCTGTTGGCAGCTCAGGGGATCGGGGCGACCACGGCTTCCCCAGGGGCCGCCATCCTGAGAAGCCTCTGTGGCTGATATTTGAGACCCGACGGGCAGTGAGCCTCCTCCCCTGGGCAAACCTGGTGGTGAGCGGAAGCCCAGGGAGCAGCCTCTGGCCGAGCTGGGCTGTGCTTTCCAACAATTGTCCAAAAATAGCCTGGGCCGGCTCACGAGGAAATGAGTCCCCCCCAGTCACGGGGACAGACTGCGGTGACAGGAAGGCTGCTTAGCTGGGAGGGAGGCTCCCAGGCTTTCTGACACCGAGAGACCCCAGGCCCATCCGTTTCTCAACCTCTGCACCCCAATACCTGAAAAGGCAGCTGAGAGCAGGGCTGGGCTGCCACCCGCCAGCTTGTGCCCAGGAGGGAAAGCTGGGGTTTGGGGAGAGGGCCTTCTCCCCGGGTTGCAGGGAGCCATCAGGCCCTACCTGCCAACTGTGCCTTCTTGGCAGAATCCCCTCCCTTCCCCAAGCCTCAGTTTCCCCTTCTGTTCAGTGAGGGTCAGACAAGTCGCTACAGGAAGGTCCAATGTCCCAGGACCCAGCAGCGGCCTCTCTACAGACCCCAGACGCAGCCTTTGTGCCCATCCAGTATGTGGAGGCCGACAGGGGTCCCAGGGGAGGAGAATGCGCTTGGCCCTACTCTAACATGGCTGTGGTCTCCTTACCTTTGGTAAACCACGAAGGTACAGAACGCTCTTGTCAACCACAGAGCTCAGGGGAGATCAAAACGGGTGCCTCGTGGGGTGCAGTGGCGCGTTCTGTATCCCAGCCGCTTGGGAGGCTGAGGCAGGAGGATGGCGAGTTTAAAGCCAGCCTCAGCAAAAGCGAGGCGCTAAGCAACTCAGGGAGACCCTGTCTCTAAATAAAATGCAAAATAGGGCTGGGGATGGGGCTCAGGGGTCAAGTGCCCCTGAGTGCAATTCCCGGTACTTGCCCTACCCCCAAAAAACAGGTGCCTAGATTGGGGGACTCGCTGCTGTGCCATAGAACACTGGGTTCTGGGGGGCACAGCTTGAGAACCAGGTGGGGGTGAGGGAGGCGCTGAGGAGTAGGGAGTCCTGAGCCCATTCCCACCTCACCCAAATCCCCACACTCCCACACTCCCTGGACAGGCTTAGGCCATGGGGCAACAGAGCCTTTTTTTTTTTTTTTTTTTGGTGGCTGGTGGGAATCCCCAGGGTCAGCTGTGATGCAGAAAGGGAGGACAGAGGTCAGGCTCAGGGAGCTGGGTGGGCCCTAGGTCACAGAGATCATCAGATGGGTCTGAAAGGGGGCTGGGCCGGAAGGGTCCCATCTGCCTTCCGCTGGGACAAAGACCAAGCTCCTCCACCTCCCTGAGGGTGCCACCACGAACTCACCAGGTCATGAGTCCTGACCTCCGGGCTCAGAAGTTACAGTCAGAGACACATTTTGCTGGTGGGGCTGACCCTCTGTGATATCCTGAGGCTGGAGAGAGGCCTGTGGAAAAACAGCTGGGTCTCCAGGCCACTGACATGAGGTGTGAATCTCGCTGTTGCTGAGGCTGGCTTTGAACTCGCGATCCTCCTGCCTCAGCCTCCCCACCCGCTGGGATTAGAGGCGTGCGCCACTGCGCCCGACAGTTGGGCTGTTCCTCTTGGTAGGCCTGTTGTGCAGCTGCAGACTGATGTCGTGGGGCTGGTGGCCTCTCACAGGCTTCCTGCAGGCTGAGCTGTGATGGAGACATTGCTTCACACAGTTCACACTTCCTTACAACGTGTCACTGGGGCCACCATGAGCAGGAGACTTGAGAAACAGAAAGCCAGGCGGTCCCTGTGTCCCTGTGCAATACAATGTACAAAAGCAAATCTGCTTCTGGTCTCCAAGGTGGCTCCCCAAGTGGCAGTCTGTGCTCCTCAGGTGACTGGAGGGGCCCTAGGTCACCTAGCCCAGGATGGTCACCTGAGGAACCACCCCACCCACCACCCTGATCACCCCAGGGAGTGGACAGAGCTCAATCACCAGGGGCCGATGGCTGGATCCACCAGGCCTGAGGAAGAGACCGCGACACAGACCTGGCAGGTGGGGACCTGTTCTCTCCTAGTGACACAGCCTGCAGAGTCAGGCCCAGGGGCCAGCCCCCATGCTAAAGCTGTCTGGGAGCCACACCCTGAGGAGCATGGGGACCCCATTTGTGGCTGGCATCTGATACAGGAGCTGTGTTGTGGGACCGAGTCCCTGTGGGCTCTGCTAAGTCGGTGGTGGTTATGGGAATGGACGTGAATTGCAGGCCACCCAGCTGGTATCAGAGGTTTGGAGGATCGGTTGCTGTGACCATTTGGTGTCAGTGTGACTGGCAAAGGGCTGTCCAGATCCGCCTTTGAATTGGGGGTGGAGTAGAGAAGACGTGCTGTCCCCACGTGGGCAGCACCGACCCGTCTGGGAGGCCAAACAGAAGGAAGACAGAGGGAGTGTGAATTCTCTCTCCCGCCCTGGGACATCAGTGGACATCTGGGTCCCAGCCCTTGGCCCTCCAGGACTCCAGGACCTACACCAGCCTCTTCCCTTCCCCAGGTCTCAGTCCTTCAGTCTGGGACTGGGATCTCCTCCAAAGCACCGGCAGCTCAGCCTTGTCACCCGGAAGGTAAGGAGGGTCCCGGGAGGACATGGTCCCGCGTGTGTGCAGGGACAGCCAGGTTTGGATGAAAGACCTGTGAGTACTGACCCTGGCCTTGCCAGAAGTCGTCCCCAACCCAAACAACCCTGTGACTCCTGTGGGCAGGGGCGGCTCACTAGTGGACGCTTATAGACCACAGCACGGCCAGCGGCTGCGTCCCCAGCTCAGGACCGTAACACGAGGCATTTTTCCAGAGATGACTGAAGCCATAACCCCCATCCCTCCCGCTCTTTCTGCAGGGTGGCCTTGGGACTTCTCCTCTGGGATCCTCCCAGGCTTGGATCATGAGGACTTGAATCCCCAACAACCTTTCAAAGGCCCCAGAGCTGACTGCCACCCTGAGACCTATAACGATGACAGCAACTCAGCATGTGAATGAGACGTGGGGGATCCACCTTCAGGCCAGAGCAGTGTAGATGGGGACCCCATCAGATATCCAAGGTGTGGGGTTCTGGTCAGACCCAAGTGGCGGGCAATGGTGACATGAACACGGAAGCCCTAAAGTCCTGGTTGGACACAGCAGCCCTGGGCTCTCCTTGGGGAGGGGGACACTCACTCAGTTCAGGACAACTGAGGATGCAGAGATGTCTCTGGGTTTGTCCCAGGGCCCCCAGGCCTGTGTCACCCCTGGGTGGGAACCACTGTCCCCAGGCTCTCTAGGTTCCTCAGCCCTTTGCAGACCCAGGTCCATCAGTGGCTGCTGTGGCTCCTGGTGGTGGAGGGAGGTGGCTCTCAGGCCCTGCCTCAGAGGCGCCTGGTGAGATGTCCAGGTGACAGCGGCACTGTTTTCAGGGCTGTGGTCACCGCTGGCCGCTGTCTCTGTGATTCATGGGGTTTGGCCACTCTGTCTTTGAGGAATGGATCTGAGCACTCCAAGCCCAGCCACTGAGACATAGGTGGCCTTGAGCAAATGACTTTGTCATTACGGCAGTTGAAACTGAGCCCAGACTTCCAGCAGCTTGGGACAGGGACTGCCCTCTCCAACCTGTCCTACTGAGATACATGCCCCTCACCTGCCTGGGGAGAGGAGGGCTGTGAATGCATGGGACTGGGGACAGATTTTTTTTTTCTCTGAAAGTTTGAGGAACTGCACTCGAGATGGGAGCACAAAGCTACTGTATCCCCTGGTGATAAACAAGCTCGCAACAATAACGATGACAGCGACGGTGACAATGGCGGTCTTTCCACACTGTTCACAAGGAACCCCCTGCACTTGCTCCTCCAATCAATGCTGTTCCCATTTTAGGGATGAAGAAACAGGCTCAGAGATGGTGGTGGATGCACCCAAGTCTGCACAGCTTTGCCCCGTGGCCAAGGCGCATGATGACCTCCGCCTCTTTCTTCTCCGGGGACTCCTTTGCTCCCCTCTCTGCTACAAAGCCACTTCAAGATCCCTCCTCCCCAAGACAAAACCTGGCCATCTCCTTCCACCAAGCCAGGGGACAAGGTAGCAGGGTTTCCAGCCCATCCTGCGGCTGACCAGCCCATCCTACTGACCAGCCCAACCTGCGGCTGCAGGTCCTTCCCTCAGGCAGATTGCCCCTCCACCCGGGTGAGCCAGCAGTCCCGCCTGGCCAGTGTCCATGCACTGGACTCTGTCAGGGCCGCGCTGTGCACTGTAACCGTGCGCTGACGCATGAGTCATGCATTGTATGGTCAGCAAACATCCGCCCGCAACAGCTGCTCCTTTGCAGGCATGAGGCGCAAATACTGGGCCCCATCTCAGCTCCCGGAGAGCCATGCTTGGCTATCAAAGGTGGCGCTGCAGAATTCTTGAAGTCCAGCCTCTCCCAGACCCCAACACCCCGATTCTGGGGTCTGGGTCCCTGGGGGAATATTTACAGAGGTCCTAAGGGGTGGACTGCTGGAATCCCACTCCCCTCAGGGCTAGCACTGGCTCAGTCCGGCCTGTCTTCCTGTCACAGGTGATCAGGGGTGGCCTCCATGTCGTCCCCTTTCCCTAACCTCAGCCATGGTCAATGGAGTCCACTCCAACTCTCCAGAAGAAGGGAGGGTGGGATGGATCCTGCCCCTTCCGGGGGGTGCCAGCTCTGCTTGGCTGGGGCGAGGGCAAAGAGGGGCGGTTCATCGAGCCACAACCAACACCAACTCTGCCACAAAGCCAGAGTGCCAAAGGCGGTGTTATCGAGGCTATTCAGGTGCCAGGGACGCTGCTGGAGCTTCTCAGCGGCTTGGAAACAATGGTTCCCTCCATTTTAGCTTTCTTTTAAAGTTTTTAATAGGGAAGTCACCCAATCTGACAGTCACAAGAATGATCTAAAAGAAACTGGCTGCAGTGGCGGGTGTCTGTAATCCCAGCAACTCAGGAGGCTGAGGCAGGATGGCAAGTTCAAGGCCAGCCTCCGCCACTTAGTGAGACTCTGGGCAGCTTAGTGACAACCCCTCTCAAAATAAAAATAAAAAATTCTGGAGATGTGGCCCTGGGCTCAATTCCTGAAACCAAATAAATAAATAAATAAATAAATAACTATATTCACACACGCATGCACACACACATTTTTAGAAGTCTTTTTTTTTTTTTTTTGTACTAGAAATTGCATCCAGGGGGACTTAACCACTGAGCCACATCCCCAGCCCTTTTTATATTTTATTTAGAGACAGGGTCTCACTAAGTTGCTTAGGGCCTCGCTAAGTTGCCGAGGTTGGCTTTGGACTCACAAGCCTCACTGCTTCAGCCTCCAGAGCATTGGAGTCTTTTTCATGGTAGGGAGACTACCCTTAGCGCTCAGAGTTGCAAGGGTTTTTCCCTAGGATGTAGTTTGTGCTATGAGTTCACTTGTAACAATTTTTGCCTTAAATCTTTTTTTATGACATCTGGATTTTTAACAATGATTTTCTTTTATTTTTTAAAAATGTAAAAAAAAAATTGAACTCCTGGACAAAGCATCACCTCCACCCATCTCAAAAACTTTTTCTCCATGTAATGGTTTCTTTTTAAAAATTTATAATTCTGGATTCATTTTAAATATATAGTGATATATGGTGTGGGCAAACTGGGACCCAACTTTATCTTTTTCTAAGTTTTCTAATGTCTTTGCATCATTTGTTTAAAAAATCCACATCCAGGGACTGAGGTTGTGGCTCAGCAGTAAAGTGCTTGCCTAGCACGTGCAAGGCACTGGGTTCGATCCTCAGTACCACATAAAAATAAAAGTAAAGGAATTGTGTCCAACTATAACTAAAAATTTTTTTTTTAAAAAAGCCCACATCCAACTCACTATTTTTTTTTTTTTTTGTGTGGTGTTTCTGGGGATTGAACCCAGGATTGCTCTACCACTGAGCTACTTTTTAATTTTTTTTTATTTTGAGACGGGGTCTCACTAAGTTGCTGAGGGTCTTGCTAAATTGCTGAGGCTGGCCTAAAACTTGCAATCCTCCTGCCTCAGTCTCTCAAGTTGCTGGGATGACAGGTATGTACCACCATGCTTGGCTTTAAGCCTACTTTGAAGTCCAGGAAACTGCCTCAAAGATTCAACCCTTGCCCTAAAAAGGTCATTTCCACATGTGACCTGTGTCCCCATTTGGGAAACACCTTTTAGATATCAGGCGAGCCACTCTGAACACATTCTGCATTGTCACCTCTGCTGCTGTTGATCTGTAGTAGCAGCCAGTGTTTGAGAGTCTTTACAAGCAAGTCTCGAAGGCTGAGTGCATCCAGTGTGAAGGACTGCCCGACCGTCCAGGGCCAGAGGAGTCTTTGGGAGTAAAAGCGGGAGGCTAGTGTTCTCTGTAGCACGAGGCCATGGCACTTCCTAAAGTAGGGTCTTGGGTAGTACTGACCACTTGAGGAGACCCACAGGCTCCTTGGCAGTTGCTCTTTTTGACCCCCAGGATGTGTGGGCAGTACCTCAGACCTGGGAAAGCAGCCTTCTAAAGGTCCTGGGCAGATGCAGCCTATGCCTGCGGGAGTCTGGGCATGCTTCCTCTTCTTCAGCTCACACCAGGAAGGCCTCATTAGGCAGCTCCTGGTTCTCAGGGAGGGACCCAGAAACACATTTGAGTTTTTAAGCAGGGGCTGGCATGCTCATCCCAATGACTCAGAATGGCCATCCTCCAGCTCTGCCCATCTGGGGCAGGAAGAGGAGCAGTTCCCCTCTGGGGGCTCATGCCATCTGAGCATCCCTCTCAGGATTCCTAGGGCTGGAGGCTCTTGCCCACCTTGGGTCTGCCTGTGCTGGGGTTTCAGGTGGACCTGGGTTTCTCTTGCTCCTGAAAACTGAGGCGGTTGGTCAATAATCATTTATAATCACATCTTTACAGTATTGTCTTTCACACACACACACAAAGAAATAGTTTCCTTTATGCATTGTTAGGTCAAGTGAGAAATCAAGACAGATGAGAGTGTTGGTCAGTGGGGGACACTAGGCATCTCTTCCTCCTCTGTGGGACCCACCTGCCCTGCAGAGTGGGTACTGGGATCCTGAACCCATTCCTAGCGCCCAGACCACTTCCCCCTTGACCTATGACCTGGGCATAAGCAAACTCTTCTCCACTCCCTGTGCGAGGCTCCTAGGAACCCTCAGCAGCCGAGGCTCCGCGTGGTTTGTCCTTAGAACTATAGTGGGTGGCAGGGGTGTGTGTCTCTTAGGTACGGGGCACGGCATGATGTCCAGGTTGTGTGTGCCTGCGAACTGTGGGGTGTAGACACCCTGGGGTCCCTGGAGCTCGCCTGTCATCCCCCAGCATGGTAGGGGCGCAGGGTCAGGGCGCGCCTGGAGACGGGAGGGGTCACCACGAAGACACAGGTGGGCACAGGTGCCAGTCCCAGCGCGAGTCCTGGCCGGTGACTACATTGCACTGGGGCCGCCCGGCGGCAGGCGGGGGCGGAGCCTGATGGGCGTGGCCGGAGGCCGGGCGCCGGGGCGGGGCGGAGCCTCTGCGGGCGGGGCGGGGCCTCTGCGGGCGGGGCGGGGCCTGCGGGCGGGGCGGGCACTGACGCGCGCCGACGCGCGATCCCGGAAGCGGTGTCAGAGCTGGAGCCGGCGGCGGGCGGCGGCGGCGGCGGCGGCGGGCGTTGGGTACTTGTTGTTCTTCGCGAAGTCCGCGCCCGAGCGCTAGCGGAGGCGGCGACCCGGGGAGCGCGAGAGCGAGAAGCGGCGAGGAGAGCGCGTGCCCGCGAGAAGCCGCCGCGCCCCGGCCGCGAGGCCAGGTGAGGGGCGGCGGCCGGGCCGCGGGACGGGCCGCGACGGGGCGGGCGGGACGCGCGGCTCCGCGGGGCGGCGGGCGGCCTGGCGCTGAGTCACGGCCGCCGGGCACCGGGGCCGCCGGGACGGGCCGAGACCCGCAGGCACACCTGTCCGACGACCGCCCTCCGTCCCCGCGCACGTGCCGCCGGACCGAGCCCGGCCGTGGCGCCCGGCCGTCGGCGGGACCGGGGCACCGCAGTACCGAGGCACCCGAGACCCGCACCGGGGCACTACCGGCACAAGTAGGAGCGCGGCGGTCGCCGCTCACCTGCAGCTGCCGCGCGGCGGGGAAGCCCGCGCTCAGACACTTCCTGAGTGGCGCGACTCGCGCCCAGGGCAGGGTGCACGTGCCCCCTGAGTGGGTAGGGGCCAGCCGGTCTCCGGCGGCCTTGGTGGCTGGTGTCACTCGCTAATCAGCTGACCTGCCAGGGGTGCCGGAAGGAAGGCCGCGATGTGGAAGCTATGGGTGGGGAGAGCGGCAGGTGACAGTCTTGGCCCGCGTGTTGCTTCCGTCACTTTCCTCAGGTGTGGTCAGGGGCCAAGGTCTCCTCCAACTCCTCGTGGGCGTTCTTCTCTGCTCCTGTGGGGTTAGTCAATAGGTATGGTCTACTCTGTGACTGGCCTGGGCGCACTTCTGGGGAGCCTGGGAGCAGGGGCAAGAAATGAGGCAAGTCTAGCAAACCACAGGTCACAGAAAGCCTTCTGGTCTCTGGGGCCTGTCTTAGGTCTGCCTTAGGAAGAACCAGTTGTCTGGCCCCGTACTCCCTGGCATCCTCACCCTGTGCAGGCACTTTGGCTCCGTACAAGTTGCCCTATTGGGGTAGCAGCCTGTGTCTAGGAAGGCTGGCAGCTAGCTCCCTGCTCTTGGATCTTGTGTTAGAGATTGTGCCCTGGGTTGCTTTTCATGAAGCTGGTAGCGTAGGCAGAAATTGGATGCACCTAACCATTCATTCAGTTGACAGGTGTCTGGCCCCAGGAAGCAGCAGACCCTAATCCTTCCACATGGCCTGGTAGAAGTCTGTGGCTAGATCTTTCCCCTTTACCCACCAGGATGGGCTCTAGGACCCCTTTATTAGCATTGATGAGTGACATTGGGATTGCACAGGGCATCTTGGTGAAATGTATGTGCAAGATCTGATGCACCCTGGAGCTGGACTTCTTCAAGTCTGGTGTTTTCAGGGCTGGGAGTTTTTTATTTTTGTTTTGGTACCAGGTATTGAACCCAGGGGTGCTTAACCACTGAGCCACATCCCTAATCTTTTTTAAAAGTTTGTATTTGAGATAGGGTCTTGCTAAATTGCTTAGGGCTTCACTAAGTTGCTGAGGCTGGCTTTGAACTTGAGATCCTCCTGCTTCAGCCTCCTAAGCTGTTGCAGGGAGGGTTTTTTTGTTGTTGTTGTTTTTTAAGGTAGTAGTCGTATCAGGTGAGTGGGATCAGAGAGGTAGGGGGGCTGTGCACTATGGGTCGCCAGCACCATTCATGAGAACTCCCTCCTTAGGCAGCTCAATTAGTCTGACCTTGGCAGAGGGGGACCTGCTTTTATCACTTAAAACTAGCCCTCTCTTTATTCCAAAGCAGAATATTTAATAAGGCAAAAAGCAAACTGGGCTTTCCCCTGGAGCACATTTACTTTTATATTTGGACCAGCAAGGTCAGAGGGACTAGTTCCAAGTCCAGTGTTGCGTACTTTCCAGGTGGTTGCTGAAATGGGAGTTGGATAGAGGGTCCCTGGGAAGCCAACTTTTCCAGGGGTCGCCTTTTCCCTAGCGCCCTAGATGCTGCTGTGGAGGAGGACTGTTTACCAACCATTCTTTGTCCACTACTCGCAGCTTTCACTCTTGGGGCTGTGGGATGGCTCCAGGGTTTGTTTACAGTCCCCGTCTAGACGAGGAGAAGTTGTGCCTGTTTCTGCCCTGGACTTTGCTGAGGCGGGAGTCTTCTGCATTGAGCTTTCTGGATTTCAGGTCCTGTCCACACGGGAAATGGAAATCCGGCCAGCTGGGAGAATTCTGTGTGGCTGCTCCTGAGAGCAGTAAACAGTGACTCACACTGCGTTCCCCACCCTCCCTGTCCCAGCTAATGGGAGATGTGTTGCTCCGTATTCACTTTTGCTTTTCATAAGTCACAGACCCCGTGTTTCCTCTTTCTTATGGTTTAAGGAAACTGAAAGTGTTATCTGAAAATTGTAGAATTTCAGAGCAGGTAGGAATGAACCTGAGTGGTCACACACGGTCCATAGCATCTCCCACTGTAGGTGAGGGGACTGCAACTACCAGACATCGCTCTCTGGCCCGGGTCAGAGTCAGCCTGGTCACGTGCTTGTCTGCTCTTCAGTGCTGCTTTCTGGTGCCCTGGGGGTGGGTCGGATGAACACCTTACCCAGGCTCCCTGCTGGAGCCACCTGCTGCATATGCAGCAGACCTTTCTTAATGGCTGGGTGCCCAGTGGGGAGCTAAAGTAGGTAAGATCTGTTCCCTGCTTGCCAGGAGCTCTCCGTGCACTGAGGAGGTCTGCCTGTCAACAGAAAGGTCTAGAACCAGCTCTTGTTCCAAGGTGATTGCTTGCCCCAAAGAACACAGCTAGGAGGACTTTCTGGAAGAAGTGTGTTGGGGAGTGAGCTGTGGTCAGCGCAGCCAGGGTCTATTGGGAGCCAGAAGAGGAGGGCTGAGATGGTGACAGATAGGGATTAGCTGCTCAAGAAGGACTTCAAGGTCTCCACCTGCCTGGGAGACTGTGTTTGAGGCACCAGGATCAAAGTTGGGGGTTCTGTTGAACTAGCGCTGTGTTCAGGTAGAAGCCAGGGCCTGAGCTGAGGCAGGGTGTGGGCAGGAGAACTTGAGGACTAGTCCTCAAGCCCTGGTCACAGAGCAGACAGAGCAGCGGGACTTGGGGATGATTTCACCTGATGATGTGGGGGCACTGTCATCACCTAAGCTAGAGAACCAGGAGGAGGGGTTTGGGGGGAGGAAAGGCAGGTTTTTGCCCTTGGTTTTTCCCAGGGGACATCCCTGGCCCAGCCTGGAGTTGGCTGAAGCCTTAGAATGACTGGGTACAGAATAGAACCCTTAAGGGGAGCTGGTGGCAGAGGGACTACTCAGTGAGCTGGGTGAGGGGCATAATGGTGGGGGCTGCTTGAGGGGGCGTGTTATGTAGCTGCAGCCTCTGCAGCCCTGGCTTGAGTCACCTCTGGATGTAGCTGGGATGACACAGCTTCCTGTGACTGCAGGCACAAGGTGACCAGACGTCCTCTGAGCCGGGCAGACAGTTGTGGCTTGCCGGAGGGCAGCCAGCCAGGGCCAGGCTGCAGGACAGTACTACACACCGAGGGGGCTATGTCTAGGGCAGGAGGGGCCAGTGGAGGCTTCCTGGTCTTCAGTGGGCTGGGCCATTACTAGCTCTTCTGTGGCACCAGCTGGGTTACCATTGGTTGGCACTATTGACAAGCACCCACTGGGTGCTGGTGCAATGTAGGCCCTGCCTCCCTTGTGGCTCCTAGGAAGGGCACTTGCTTTGGGTGCTTGTAGAAGTGTTTCCAGCTCCTGCGAGGGGGTAGTTGTGGCCTCGGTGGCTTCAGGTTTTGTGGACTTGCACCCATCAGGGCCGGGGTTGGAGAGCGAGGGCTATGTCCAGCTATTGCTGTGTCCAGCTAGAGTTTGAATCTGCTCTCCTCAGACAGTGGGCCACTGCACCTCCTTCCCACTCTGGAGAGTAGGAAAGGAAAGGCTTACCCCTCCTCCTCAGGTGGGCTGAAAGTGGAGGGGCCTGGCCTTGTAGTCACATCACCCCTAAAGAACAAGTGTCTTACCTAGAGCCCACCCAGCTTCACATCTGAGCTCCAGCAGAGGGTGACATAGAGGGTCCTGGCTAGTCATTTATCTCCTTAAGCATCAGGACCCTTGGGAACTGTGTGGAGCCTCCCTGGGGCTGATTAGCCACCTGACTTGATGGAGAAAACCCCACCCGCAGGCCCAGGCCAGTCCTTCTCACTGTGTGCTGGGAAGTAAATGTCCCCAGGTGCAGTCAGAGCAGTGGGGCACCAGGGACAGCAGCTGGAAGTTGAATAGTAAAGAATGATCCCTGGAATGTGAGGTGATCTGCTTCTGAAAGGTCCCTTCCTGAGCTGTTGAGATAAGCCACCCCGCCCTACCCCCCAGGACGCCCAGGCTGGGATTGGATCCTCTGCAGCATTCCTTCCGGCCTCCTGCCTGGATCTATCCTGAAATAGGAGGGCTCCCCACCCTGGCTCCCTAATTCTGTGGTCTGGACACTACCAGGGGTGGCTGGCATGCCCTCAGGGAATATAGATGGGTACAGTTGATAACTCTTTAAATGTTAGTAGTCACCTGGAAGGTGCTGCATGTGCACCTGTATTTGTTTGCGGTGCTGGAATCCACCCTGGACTTTGTGTGTGGTAGGTAAGGCTCCACCACGTGAGCCTTCTTGACCAGCTGCCTGTCCTGGGATGTGGCCCCGGAGCACTGCCCGCCCACCTAGGTTGGAAAGTGGTTGCGTACAGGGGGAATGGAGACCAGTGCAGTTTCCCAGCTGCCTGACTTTATGGAGAAACCCCACCCCCAGGCCCAGTATTTGACTGCTGAACTTCTCAGGTGACTTTTCTAGAATTCCAAGTAGCTCAGGGCATGGGGTCTTGTATGCTGTTGGCTGATGGAAGGCCCAGAGCACCCTCACCAGAAGCTGCCCAAGAGAGGCCTGCCTTGGGCCCCAGTGCCAGGAAGACGGCTTCTCTGGGGCTTCCTGTGGGCTCCGCACACCCTTCTGCCTACAGTCTTAGCCCAGGCTCAGAAAGGAGTCTTCTCAGGAGATGTGCCCTGTGGCTCTCAGTGGCTTACAGAGCCCCTTCAGAGCATTTTTTAAGTCACTTGTTTTGCAAAGTCTTTCACATGTACATGACTCTCCTGGGACTGGAGGTGCAGCTCAGGGGTGGAGCTCTTGCCTGATCTGTACAAGGCCTTGGGTTCCATCCCCAGCACTGCAAAAAACCAAAACAAAGTAAAACTCTCCCTTGAACCTCATTCCAAAGGCCAGTTGTCATTTTTCTTGCCTTTGATGTTTAAAGCAACTCAAGGTCAGTACTGCACGGGTGTACTTTGTGAGTGCTGGGCAGAGGCACCAGCCTACCCGTGGACTGGGTTCATGAGAAGCACCATGCCTGGGCTGCCCCTGTGCCTGGCGCCAGACTGAAGGGCAGAACCTTGACCTGTAGCCCATCTGTCCTCACCTTTTATGTGGGCAGACATTGGCCGAACCATCCCAACAGAGGATCCAGGTTTCCCCAGCAGAACCAGGTTCCTGGGGCAGACCTCATCTGCCTGAGGGAAAAGGTGTGGGTGTGGTGCCGGTGCAGGGTGGGGGGCTTCTCCTGCCTGCACCCCACCCCCAGCCTATCCCCTGGCCTGGACTGCTGGGCTGGGCTCCTGGGAGGGGCCTGGTGCTCTCAGGAGTGGGTGCAGGTGTGGTGGTGGGGGAGAACCCAGGTGGGGTCTAGTGTCCCCTGCTGGGCCCAGCCTGGGCCCTTTGTTTCCTTCCTTCATTTTTCTGAGGAAGTGACCCATGAAGAGCCGACGTTTGTTCTGTGGGGAAGAGGCCTCTTGGGAAGAGGGTGGGTTTGTCTGCATCTCCTCCGTCCTCAGTGCTCTTTAAGATGGCAGGTCTGAGGACTAAGGGGTTCTGGAATTCAGAGCCCCCTCCCTGCGTCCCTCCCTAGGGCCTGAGCCGGGACCCATGTTGGTTGCTTTCTCTCAGTGGTCTTGGGTCCCCAGAGGCAAGCGAGGTGGTTGTGGTAGGCTCAGAGCTGGCAGATGGGATCGGAGCGACCTATCTGGCCACCCAAGGGTCCTCAAATCATGGAAGGGGTTGACTTCTCTGGGTGTGGTTCCCCGGAGACTGAGTCTTGCACATCCTAGTCCCTCGGTGTCCCACCTCTGTGGTCATGGGAGGCAGTTCCTTAGGGTTAAGTTCTGTCCCTCGGCTCCCTGCGGAGCACAGCACGTCACCTGTGGGTCTGACCAGAGGCCCCTTCCCTAGCACCTTCCTTTTCCACTGGCCTTAGGGGCCCCAGCTAGTGCCATACGGGTGGGAGGGGCGTCCTTGTGTGGGAATGTGAGCGGCTCTGTAAACAGCTGGTGACTCACCGCATAGTTATGTCACTGACTTGTAGTTGCTGGAAGAGGTGCCTGGTCCCTCCTCCCTCGCATGGAAAAGTTTCTCATGGAGTCATGGAGCTCCCAGGCGCCTGGGTCCTGCAGGGCCCTACAGGGTGGCCAGAGCCCAGGGCTTCTCCGGTGTCTCTGTCACCCAGCTCAGGGTGGTGGGGGTGGCATGCCTCGGGCCCCCTCACATCATGGGTCAAGTCATGTTGGAGAGCAGCTCTTACCTCCATGTTCACCCTGAGCTGCTGCTTGTCCATTTCAGGCCTGGGCCTATAAGGGGTCAGGGTGCTCCCTCAGTCCCTCCCTTGAGAGGAGCCCCAAGCCTACCTGAGGCTCCCCAGCTGGCCCCTGCTGTCCACTTCAGTTTCCATGGGAGCAGCTGGAGTCACCAGGCTGCTGGTGTCTAGCGCAGAGCGTGGATCCTGTGTTCATCAGCAGCTTCTTGTTTAGAGGGTGGCAGGACCCAGGTCTGCAGGGAGAGGGGCAGTGGAGGTCGCCCACCATCCAGCCCCAGTCTATCCTCTGTACCCCTTTTCCATATGTTTCTCTGCTTTTGCTTCGACTCATCTCTAGAATGTGGATGTGGGGGTGTGGCCCATCCAGTGGCCACCCTGTGTTTCTCCCCTTTCTTCTGGGGTTAGAATGAATGAGTTTGTTTACTGTCTGACAACCTCATGATGTCTTCACACAGGCCTGACCTGAAGTCGTGATTGCTTTTGGGCTTCTCTGTTTCTATGGCAACCATCAGGGGTTGGCTACTTCCCAAGGTCGTCATGGCAACTATCAGAGGGGAATCATGCTTGGGATGCTTTGGCTGGGTTTTTCATGAATGATTAGAATGTGTGACACAATGCAGACTCTAAAATGAGAAGGGCGGTTGGCGGGGACAAGTCTCACCAGACAGTTGATTAGTTCTGCGAGGCAGCCATGACTCCTCACCTCCTATCTCTGGCCCTTCTCTCTAAACTGATGCCCACCAGGAGCCCCCACCCATCCTTGGGGCCCCAGAGTCACCTGTGCAGACTAGGGGCAGCCAGGCTGAGGTGGTGATGTCACAGCTGCAGTTCCCTTCCCCGCGGTAGGTGCCAGGGACAGGCGGGCTGGGTGGGGCTGGGGAGAGGTGGCAAGTGCTCTACTCTGTCCACTTTTGAGGATGAGGTTCAGTAGTGGCAAGAGCTCTCTGAAAGGGCCCTTTCTCTCCCTGCGGGTCTGAATCAGCCAGAGCTCTTGCCAGGCAGGGACACTGTCCAGGCATGGCCATTCTTGGGGGTAGCTTTGCGACTGGTCTGTGTTCTGTTGGCTCTAGCATCTTGTACCTCACTGGTGCCAACATCTTGTGAGATGGGAGGGGAGTGGGGGTAGGAAGCAACAACTGCCAGTGCCGGGCTTCACCCCCAGTCCTGGGGGCTGCAGCACCTGCAAGGTTTGGGGGCAGTAAGGGGCCACACAGCTTCTGGGCCTGGGGCTGAGAATCCTGGCTGTTCTGTGAGCTGGGCTAGAGTGTCAGCCGAGCTGGGTCTTACTGGAACCTCCTGGGCAGACGGGCTGGGGCAGCCCCTTGGGATGTTCTTGGGGCACTGGGACAGGCTGTCTCCTGGGAGCCTACTGCAGGGAGACGTGCGCAGTCCTGAGCTCACCAGGGCTAACCCACTCACCCTCTGTGCTCTTCTGTGTTTCTGCAGTTGCAGTTTCCCAGCACTTCCGTCCTGGTGATTGTGCCCGGGTTATGACGACTAATCCCAAGCCCAACAAGGCGTTAAAGGTATGGCAGGTGGCAGCCCTGGGCAGCCATCCCTGTCCTGGGCACTACACAAGAAAGATTCCTCCTGACCTGGAAGCTCCTCCTCTCTCAGATTTGCCCTTAGGGTGTGAGGGAGTCCCTGTCCCTGGGAATAGGTGGGGACTACAGGCTGGGAGAACATTCTCAACAGAGGTGGGTGACACACTGGGGATGTAGGGATAGATGCCTGTCAACTGGGGCTTTGTTCGTGGGTCCTGTTCCTGCCTGAATTGAATTCCCAGTACCAGGCTTGGGCAGAGTGGCCTCCAGTGGGTGGGGTGCTCCGGCTCCATCTCTGCTGGTGCTTGCTGCCTCCTGGGCCCTCAGCTTCTGTGACAGGCTGCCCTTGGGTCGGCCTTCATGTTTGGGGCTCTTGGGAACCATATGCAGAACTGAGATTGTGTGTACCCTGCACCTCCATTCCACTTCTGGGGTTCCTGCTCCCTTGAGGTGGCCCTGCCTGGCCAGACCCCAGTGTCACTCTGGGAGGCCGATGTGCAGGTGATAGGGGAAGAGTGAGCCGCCCAGCCTCACCCTGGAAGGGTTGGTTGAGATCCTTCCTGAATTATCACAGTGACAGCAGCAGCTGTAGTAGGACTGCCTGGTGTGGCTTTGTGGTGCTGCGTCCTGTGCACAATGTCCCTGTTGTAGCAGGGGGACTAGCCCCAGATAGAGGACAGGTGGGTGCTACTGCTGGGTCTTTCTGCTGCCCCAAATCAGCTGCGGGCTGCTGCAGGGCAGGCTGAGGTGTGGATACTGCAGGGGCTTGGTGCTGACCCACTGTGGCCTTGCAGGTCAAGAAGGAGGCGGGCGAGAACGCCCCGGTGCTCAGTGATGATGAGCTGGTGTCCATGTCAGTGCGGGAGTTGAACCAGCACCTCCGGGGGCTCACTAAGGAGGAGGTCACCCGCCTGAAGCAGCGCCGGCGCACGCTCAAGAACCGCGGCTACGCAGCCAGCTGCCGCATCAAGCGGGTGACGCAGAAGGAAGAGCTGGAGCGGCAGCGGGTGGAGCTACAGCAGGAGGTGGAGAAGCTGGCCCGCGAGAACAGCAGCATGCGTCTAGAGCTGGACGCCCTGCGCTCCAAATACGAGGCCCTGCAGACCTTCGCCCGCACTGTGGCCCGCGGACCTGTCACACCCACCAAGGTGGCCACCACCAGCGTCATCACCATCGTCAAGTCCACAGAGATCTCCTCCACCTCTGTGCCCTTCTCAGCCGCGTCCTAGTGCCTGCTTGGGCCGTGAGGCGGCACGTCCCTCGTGCCTGCCCAGGGTCCTGGCGCAGACTCGAAACACCAGTCGTTGCAGACCCCTCGGGGCTGAGAGTGGGGACAAGCGAGGTGCCAGATGAAGAGTAGGCTCTTGTGAGCCAGGCACTGCACACCGCCCATGCACACACAGGTGCACGCCACCCTCACGCCCTGTCCCTCCTCTCCAGATGGGTCTGTTTCAAGAGTCAGTGGGAGATGACCCCACAGTCCCCTGCAGGGTCTGCCAGCAGGAGGGGCCCCTGTGGCTGGGTGTGGGGCTCATCTTCCACTCCTCTTGCAAGCAGCCTTTAACACCGTCCTGCCATGGCAACCACCTGGGCCAGGCACCCTGTGCTGACCTCCCTGAGCTCTGGATGCCCCTGGGGGGAGTGAGGGAGCTCGAAGGCAGCTCTGGTCTTCCGTTGTCCCACTGAAGCGTGCTATGATGAGCTTTAGCCCTTACACCCAGCCCGTGCCCTGGGAAGCAGAGATGGGAGAGGCTGTGTGCTAGTGCTGTGCCCCACGGGCCTACTGTCACAGGGCCTGTACACCAGAAGCACCGGGGTCATGTCAGAAAGGCCTGTCCAGTATGCGTGCAGAGAGTTGTGTGTATGTTGTGAAGTTTCCCTTGTGCTCTGTGACCCAAGGTGGTTGCCCAGCAAGGCCCAGCCGGCAGAGCCAGCTGGCTTTCTGCCAGCCTGCTGGCCATCCCTGGATTTCACAAGATGAGGGCAGGAGCATCCCATCAGCTGCTGGAAAGCAGATCTTGGTTTCCCTAGAGCTGCCTCTGGCTGGCTGTGCTCAGCGAGGTGGGGAAGGTGGAGATCTCGAGGCCTGCAGGGAAGGGTTGTGTGGTTTGGAGAGGAGTGGAGGCCTCAGGGATGTCGGTGGATGTCGGTGGATGACACGGTGGATAGACGTGTCAGTTGATGTCCTGGGTGGAGTATCCCACAGACCACTGTGCTTCCTGCTGCTGGGTGGGGTGGAGCAGTGGGGGGCTGAGGATGGAGCCGAGGCTCTGAGATGGGGCCCGGGGACATGAAGGAGGCCTGAGAGCACAGCATGGGGGTGAGGGCACTGCAGGGAACTCCTCACGGGCCTGCCTCTGTGTTGAGGTCAGCCAGGAGCCCCCGACGGGCTTGGGGCAGAGGTGGGTCCCTGCGTCCTGGTGCTGGACCGTCACCCAGAGCCTTCACCTGCTCTTTCTTCATGGAGCTCTGAACTGCTCATGGTCTTGGGGATCCTTCCGGGACTTCCTTTCCCAGAGCACTGCTGCAGGGCACCCTCCTCTGACTGGGGTCTTGGCAAGAGGAGTTGGCTTGGACACCCCTGTCTGGGGTGAGCCGGTGGAGCATGAGCCCTGTGTCCTGCTGCCAACTGGAAGCCACTGTGCGTGACAGGCAGTGAGGGGGTTGCGCCCCTCACTCCCAGTTCCCTCCTGGCCTGCCCTGTACCCCAGCAAGCTGCCGCACTATGTGCAGGGAGGGCCGAGGACGGGCCGCCCGAGGGCTGCGACGTGGTTCTGCGTCTGCTGTCAGAAGTGAATAGAAAGCGTCAGGGCTTCCCTGGTGGCACCACCATGCGGCTGGTCCTCTTCTGGGTCCAGTGCAGTGCTGAGGGTTGGCCAAGCTGCCGCCCAGCTACGCAGGGTCACACTGGAGCCTCAGCAGGAGGCTCTGCTGGGCACTTGAAGCTGTCGATACCATAGCCATGGTAGGTAATCCATATTGGATATCAATAAGGGCCATGGGAAATATTTAAAGAGAAAAAGAATATATATATATATATAATTATATACACATTTTATCGTACAGATTTTTCATAAGTTTTTTCCAGTTTGATACTGTAGATCTTCATTAGTGCAGAGTTGTGTTGGATGGGGTGAGAGTGTGCTGCCCCCTCTGGTGTGTGCTGGGCCTGGGGACAAGGCCTAGCCCCAGCAGGCACCATGCTTGGTGGGTGGCCCCCAGGGCAGGCCACGCAGCTGCAAGTTCTGTCTAGCCCTGGGGTCTGTCACATCTCTGGGATGTGGCAGGCTTCTGGCTCTGAGTGGCTTCCCACTCTTGGCCTGTGGTGCTGTGCTAGAGAAGGAGCTCCCCACACTCGGCCTCCAGGGTGGACAGAGCTTCCATCACCATCCAGGGAGCCTCCGTCCAGGATGCTCACGGGCACAGGGCCAGGGAAGGAAGTGGCACATTCTGCTTTTCCTTTGAGATCACTGAAATTTTATTGTCACGATTTAATATATGATTTTTTTTTTTTTTTTATTTAAGAAAAAGACAAGGACCTCTTTGTTGTGGGTTTGTTTTCTGTCCCGTGGCTCAGACCTCCCAAAGAGGGTGGGCTCTGCCTTTCCTGGGTGGCCAGGCGCTCCCTCCACACGCCACGCACAGCGCGTCCTGGCCTCCCAGCCGCAGTTCCATTTCAATATTTATTTTTTGCTGCTTTCCCCATGATATAAATTATTGAGAGGAGATCACATGCTGTGGACCCGCACCTGTGCCCCGTGCCCACCCCGCCCCATCTCACGGCCACCACCTAATTTATTGCTGTACACGTCGCTGCTCTGACTGCTTTTGTACCTTTGCAATAAAGAAAGCCCTGGTTTTACGTCCTCGTGTGTAGCTGCTTCTCTGGGTCAAGGACCTGGCATCCTGGGCCCCCGCTCTGGACAAGGGGCAGTCCTGGGACGGAAGCTTCTGCCTCTGCTCCAGGCTCGCTTGCTGGCTGGGGGGAGACTTCCCGAGTGCCCCGTCCCACCCTGGCCACAGGCCTCTGGCAGTCAGTGCAACCTCTGCTTTAGAGCTGGGGGTCACAGGTCTGAGCTTCCTTCCCCACAGGGCGGGCACCCTCCAAGCCAGGCTGCTGCCCAGCTTTGCTGGGGTTTTCTCTGAGATAAGCCTGTGGGAAGCTGGGAGGGGGTCTGGGTCTGCTGAGGGCAGAGAGTAAAGCCCCTGCACCGGCCTAAAGCAAGCAGGTGGCTCTGGAAAGCCAAGGGCAGCCAGGCTGTCCTGAGCAGACGCTGCCCCTCTGACCTGATTCGTGGTGAGCAGCCCCACCTTGCCATCCTCAGAGGGGCCAACGGGGCGGTGCTTATCTGCAGCTCCAGAGGGTCGGGCTTGCAGTGAGTCCTGCTTCCTAGAGGTTCCAACCACCAGTATGTCTTCCTCTGGCCTGTGCTGACCAGGAGTGGACGTTAGAACTTCAGAGTGTGTCTGATCCAGTGGGGGTTGTGTCTGTGGGACCACAGTGAGGTTTCGATACCAGGAATGGCAATAATGGAGCCCCAGCTAAGCCAGACTTCATTGCAGTGGCTCTGGGGACCCTGACCCTAGCTGGGGGCCCAGAATTATGGCCCAGGCTCTTGGAGGCAGCAGGTGGACAGGGAAGCTGTGAAAGTAGACACTGTCCCCAGCCCACACCAGGCCAGCCTTTCCCAGAAAGGAGACTCCCCCCAGGCAGGGTAGCCATGCAGAGCCAGAAAGGAAGCCACACCCCCACCCCCGGCCACCCAGCCCAGACCAGGCCTCCCTTCCCTCTCATGTGGTCCCTGGGGACTTTCAGCTGGGCCATTTCACAGATGGGAGTACTGAGGCCAAGGCAAGTTAGGTAACTTGGCAGAGCGCGGGGCAGGCAAGCCAGTTCCTGCCTGCCAAGCAGCCGCTCCCTCTGCCCCGTGGGAGCTGTAACTGGGGCTCCCTCTTCATCAGCCCTAATGAGACTGAAGCCACTCAGCTGCTCACCTCCCTTCCCTCAGGAGACGAGGGGAGCTCAGCCTGAGGGCTCCTTTTAAGTCACTCACAGCAGTGTTCTACTGCCTGTGCCGTGTTCAACCCGCATGGCCTTATTTGCTGTCTTGTTGGAAGGAAGGAGGGCCCGTCGCAGTTGGAGGAGCAGGGAGAGTGGACTTCCGTGTAGTCAGCCCTCGCCAGCTGTGACCCCAGGTAACTTGCGGGACCTCTCTGGGCTTACCTTCCCTGGCTGTCACGAGGGTTGTCTATGTGGGCTCCTGGCACATGTGGGTACCGTCCAGAGAAAGATTGTGCCCCGAGCCACATGGTTCTGGGCTTGCAGGAGGGAACCCTTGCCCACTTTTCCTCTGCACATGGCTCCAGGTACCTCAGACCAGAGGACGCCTCTCTGAGGCAGGGTTGGCGTGAGCTGGCCCCCTGCTGACCGGCACCTGCCGGGCCTGGCATCAAGCTTGCCCAGGGTCTCTTTGGTTGGCAGGCCTCTGGGGAGAGCTGAGCCCTCTCAACCCTGTAGATGGAGTGGAATGCTGAGGGCCTCCTGGTGGGTGTGCCAGCTGCAGAGGGCAGGATAAGATGGCGGGTGAGGGTGGTTCTTCCCAGCTGGCTGCAAGGAGGAGCCTGGCCTATCTTATCAGCAGTCCTGCTAAGCCAGAAGCCACTGGCCTTGAGTTCCCTTGTCCCTAGGCCCAGGGATCAAGAAGGCAGGGGAGTGGCCCTTGACTCTGACACTGCTCTGCTGGTCTCCAAGATCCTGGGCACATTGCCCTCTTCTTCCCATGACTGTGGGAGTGGGCAGCCAGGTGGACTGGTCACTCAGTGGTCACATTAGGTGGCAGGAGCTGTGGCCTCTGGGTAGCTGTGGCCTCTCCCTGGCCAGTAGCCCTGGATCCCCATACCCTTTCCTGAGCCTCCTTGGCTTTGCCCCCCAGTACTGCAGGATCCAGATTTTTGCCCCTGTGGGTCCCTCTGCCTGCAATGCCTCATGGGAAGACATCCCTCCTGCCAAGGCCCAGTGCAGGCCCTCCACCAGGTCCCCCTAGTCCCCTACTTTGCTTTCTCCATGTTTCCAAGGCCTCGGAGCCCGTCAGCTGAGGCAGGGCCTGTCAGGCTCGGCTCTGTGCGTCCTGGGCAGGCAGGAAAGAGGAAGGGAGAGGACGCTCCCAGGCCTGAGTCCCTGTGCCTGGTGCTCTGGGCTGTTACAGGGTGGGGCCAGCAGGAGCTCCATTTTATGGAGGACAGTAAGGCTCAGAGGGAGGGGACCGCCCTGGCTCCCTAGAAACCGGAACTCGGTTCCATCTCAGAAGCCGAGCTCTCCGGCCTGCACTGCTCTGAGTGACGCCTTGGGCGGCCACCCTGGGCAATAAGAACCAAGACCCTTCCTGACACCCAGCCCAGGACAGTGGGCCCCGTTGGACCACCCGACCCCTCGGTACTGACTGCAAGAACAGAAGGCAAACAGGCCATTACAAATCCACGGCATTTATCTATAAATAAGGGCGAGTCACTGGCAAGTCCTCATGGTTCCATCGATGGCCGGAGTGCCCTGGTATGGGGACCTTGCTGGATCTCCCCGTGGCTGCAGTGTGGAGGGCAGTATGAGCCTTCCTCATGTGCTCAAGATGGCCACAGCGGGCACAGGCCCTCAGCTCTGTCTCCTCTGCTGTCCCAGGCTGCCCAGCTGTCCCCTGGCCATCTCTTCCTACAGCTGCCTGGGGGCATCTGACCATCCATCTATCTGCCTGTCACGTGGAAGGAGCAGCCAACTTGCAACTCCCCTGGGACCTCTGTAGCCAAAGCCTCAGTGGTCATATTAGTGTCCTGCCCCACATTGGCCACCCTGCAGGTGATGTCCAGGTCATCCCAGTAGGTCCTCAGGCTTGTCCAATTTGTCCAGGTGTCTTCTCCCAGGGAAGAGAGCCCACCCCTCACACTGATTCTTGGGCTGAGTGTGGAGGCTGCACCTTTGGCAAGAAGGTCGGTAGGTGGGGGGGTCTGTCCTTTCCCTGAGGCCTGAGCAGCCTGGATCCCCAGTCAGGCCCTGGAGACCCCGAGTGCCCCTACAGGTCTTCTGAAGGGATCAGCATGCGCTTCTCCAGGTTTCGGCTCTTCCTACCCCTGTCAGAGCCACTAGCAGAGCAGGGGTGGGTGCCAGGTGAGGGGTGTCCACCTTGGCCAGGCCCCGGGGCCTCCTGTGTGGCCTGCTGTGTGTACTGTTGGTAGGCAGGGGAGAAGTTGTGGATAGCATCCTGCACGATGTCCTGAGGGCTGATGGTCTCCTTGAGGCCACTGGAGATGCTCTGCATGGGCGCTGGGGGAGCTGGGGGGACACAGCATGTGGGCTGGGGCAAGGGGCCCCCTGCCAGATCTCCCACTGTATGCCTAGCCCTGGGATCCTGCCTATCCAGGGCCTGGCCTTGTTCAGCAGAGGGTGACCAGGACTCCTGAGGCCAGCCCAGCTCCTCCTCAGTCTTGGCGCTGGGGCCTGTCCCTGTAGACACCCTCCTGCCAGGGGTCCCAGTCCCTGTAGTTTCTGAGGGGCTCTGGGGGATGCTTTGGGCTGGCCTGGTGGGAGTCCTTCACACTCTGCTTTTCACTGACCAGTGGGAGCCAGCCCCACCCCTCAGGAGGCACACCCCCAACACCAAAGGACCCGCAGGCCATGGTCCTAGTCCAGCCCCATTTCCCTGAGAGCTGGAAGCGGCTGCCTGCCTGGCTCAGCCAGCAAGGGACATCGCCCTGTCTAGCCAGTGGACTGTGGCCGTGATGTTCCCGGGCCCGGCCGGCAGGGCCTGGCTTACCTGGCGAGTCCTTCTTCTCTGAGTACACCTGGCAGGTGAAGGCGTACCGCAGCGCGAGGGAGGCGAAGAGCATCTCAATGCAGATGAGGAAGTTCTGGTAGCCAGCGGCCAGCGTGCCAGCCCCCACCCTGGTGCCATCGATGGCCTGGACCTCAGGGATAGCCCCACACCTCTCTAGGATGGCCAGCAGCATCCCTGGGGGTGAAGGTAGCCACTCAGGCACCAGCCCTGGTCAGGAGGCTGGGCACGGCTGACACTAGCCAAGGCTCCCACTGGTGACTGGCCAAGGGTCCTGAGGGACCAGCTTGGGGTTGACAGGGTCTTGGGGGTGTCAGGCATCCCTTCCACTGGGAATGGCTGAGTGGAGAGGGGCTGGGCACCCTGAAGGTCGGGGTTCCTGCGTGCATGCCCCATGTCCAGCCCCAGGCCTGGCGTCTCCCCAGCTCCTACAGTGTGCAGCCACTGGAGACCCCGTGGCCATCCTCCTCCAAAGCAGGGACCAAGTACCCACAGGGGGCCTGCCCAGGCACCCCGCAGGGCCCAGGAAGCTTCTTTGTGGCCTCCACCTGCAGCCCCCGGGACTTCCCTCCACCAGCGCCCAGGACAGACCGGGGGGTGACCTCTCTCGTCCCGTGCCTGGGCTCTGCCAGCTCAGCACGGGCAGCTCAGTCACTACTCTGAGCTACAAGTGGGAGGACAGGGCGCGGAGGCCTGGGACAGAGGTGCGGTGGGAACCCAGTTCCTGGGACTGCAGCCCGGCCTGGGCACTGCCACCCGCGGTCCACACACCCTGCCAGAAGGACAGGAAGATGACGGCCTTGATGGTGAGGAACTTGAGGACCGGCTCAAAGGGCCGCAGCAGCTCCCGGGTGGCGAAGTAGAAGAGGAACAGGGCGTAGAGGGCCAGGCTGACGGAGGCATTGTAGACCAGGGTCACGTACAGGTAGCCACTGCGGACACTGCGCGGAGAGCCGCTGCTCAGCTGTGCTGCCACCCCTGATCCTGGCCCCCCCACCTGGGTCCTCCCTCCAGGGCTCGCAGACAGCACTGAGGGGTATAGGCCTCCGGGGAGCCTCCTGCAGGGCGGGCAAAGTGGTGGCCCTTCTTCCTGCCCCTCCTGCATGTCCATGTCCCCACTCCCTGTCAGAAAGCCACCTCCATGACCGTCAGCTATCTGGCCACAGCCTTAGGAGTGAGTCCTTCTGCTGTGGACACGGAAGTGTGCATGTGTGTGCTCGAGTACCCGTGTGTGCGTGTGAGGGTGCGTGTGTTGGTGGGTGGCGGGTGTGAGCCAGGCCAGGGCTCCTTCCCGAGCACGCCGTGGTCGCCAGCCTGTGCTCTGCTCAACAGCACTAGGTGTTTGGCTCCTGGCCTGTGGGTCCTCACACCCCACCCTTGTCTTCCTTGGATCCACTGCAGACAGGGAGTCGGGGGCTGTCTGGGGTCCCCATGTGTGACAAGGCCAGCTCCTCCCTGGCGGTCTCCATGAGGAGGGGGCAGGTGGGCGAGGACAGGGCCCTTCCTGAGCCGTGCTGAGCCCCACCCCCAAAGGCCCCTGGGCTCTGGCTCCTGCACCTGCCCTACCTGAAGTCCCCATCACGGTATCTGCCAAAGGCTTGGAGGATGATGGTGGCCAAGGCCATGATGGGCTTCACCATGCAGAACTGCAGCGTGGCCTGGGGTGGGCAAGGGGCACTGGTGGGGGACAGCAGCTGGCTGTGAGCTAGCCCCCAACACAATAGCAGAGCCCCCTGGGGCTCCACCAGCCACCTGTACCTTCCCATGGTCCCTCGACTTCTACCAGGAGCAGAAGTCTCCAGAGGGAAGGTCAATATCACTCTGTCGTAATAGATCCAAAATATATAAACGATACCAAATCCATGGCAGGGCGGCCTGAACCTGGCCATCGCTCCGGCTGGACGGCCAGGGAGTGGGCTGAGGGGCAGGAGGAGCCCACGAGTCGGATCCCACTTACCTGCTTGCAGAAGCGCAGGAACCCGATGGAGTAGGCCATGCCCCTCAGGCAGCAGGTACCGTAGACGCAGCTGGACCTGTGGAGAGGAGGTCAGAAGCACTGGGAGGACACGTCCCCAGCAGCGGCTGGGGCTGCCCTGTGCTGGGCCTCAGGTGGAGGTGGGCTTACTTGATGGGCTTGCCCCGGATCTCGGCCATGATGGCACTCTCGCCGCCCAGGTACTGGAAGCAGAGGCTCAGGAAGCTGTAAATAGCAAAGGCTGCAGGGCAGACGGAGGGGCCGGTATGAGCCCAGCCCACAGGAGCCCTGCCCACTCGGGCTCCGGCCAGCCCCATAGTCCTGGCCCAGACTGTCCCCTGAGCAGCAGTAGCTCAACCCCTCGCCCCCGGGGCCTGCACCTTGCCGTTCCAGGCCCACCAGCCCACCCTCCATCAAGGCTCCCTTGCCAGGGCCTGGCCACAGAGCCCTGGTGCCCCGGCCCAGACATGGGTCCTGAGCGTCACCTTCGTAGCAGTCCCGCACAGAGTCGAAGTAGACGTAGTACTCATGGCCTCCCAGGAGGAGCAGGCTGAGCCAGGAGTCGAAGGCATAGATGGGCACGATGAGCAGCAGGCGGATGATGTAGCGCTGCTCCTGGGGCACCGTGTAGGAGCGCAGGTGCAGGTAGATCTGGGCCGGAGCAGGAGGGTCAGGTGGTCGGCTGCCCCCGCCACCCCTGCCACCCAGGCGCCCTGAAGGAGGTGCGAGCAGTGGCAGAGCTCCCCTGGGCACCACCGGCCTCCTGTTCCTTCCCAGATCCCTGGACTTCTACCAGGAGCATTCTTAGGACAGGGGAAGGTCAATATTGCTCTGTCGTGATCAGATCCAAAATATATCAACTCTACCAATCAAATATGCACCTTATACATAGGCGTACATTAAATTTCTAATCACAACACCCCCACACACAGTGCTACTGAATCCAGGGACACTCTACCACTGAGCTACATCCCAGCCCTTTTTATTTTTTATTTTGAGACAGTGTCTCACTAAGTTGCCAAGGTTGAACTTGAACTTGTGATCCTCCTTCCTCAGCCTCCTTAGTCACTGGGATTACAGGCATGTATTCCACTGCGCCCAGACAAAACCATACAGATTTTTAAACATATTATTTATTTCTTTTTTTGTACTGGGGATTGAACCCAGGGGCGCTGAGCCACTGAGCCTCATCCCCAGCCCCTTTTTATATTTTATTTAGAGACAAGGTCTCCCTGAGTTGCTTAGGGCCTCGCTAAGTTGCTGAGGCTGGCTTTGAACTTGTGATCCTCCTGTCTCAGCTTCCCGAGCTGCTGGGAATACAGGCATGTGTCACCGTGCCTGGCTAAATATGTTATTTTTAATTCACAAAGATTTTGGACTGGGGATATAACCCAGTGGTAGAGGCTCTGGGTTTCAATCCCAGGACCAAAAAAAAAAAAACCCCAAAAAAAGTACATAATACTTATGTTGTTCGACCTATTTTAACAGACACGTACATTGTAGAGGCAAAAATCAAGCCCGTTGACATATTCCTTACCTCACATACCTATCATTTTTTGTGGTGAGGAAGTTTAAAATATTTTACAGTTTTTGAGCATGCAGCACATTTACAACCATGAGCTTGGGCACAAGCTAGGCCTGTTCTTGGTGAAACTTTGGCAATGGAGACACCCATTCATTCACTCTGCAAGAATTTCTTGAGCCTGGCTAAGTGTCAGATCCTGGGGAAGGGGAGGGAACAAGCCCTAGGCCCTGACATTGGAAGGATTTATACCCTTTAACTCCTCTAGGAATCTGTCCCTAGGAGCAAATCTACTCAAAAATAAAAATATCTGTGCACAAGGACATTCACCATAGCAATACATAAAAAGCGACTACTAGGAACCCACAAGGGAGGGCTGGGCTTCCCACACAGTGGAACAAGTCTGGGAAGGAATATTATACAGGCAGTAAAAATATGCTCAGGGGCAAAGCAGTTGCCTCGCATGTGTGAGGCACTGGGTTCCATCCTCAGCACCACATAAAATTAAAATAGAGACACTGTGTGTCCATCTATTAAATATGCTCCGAACAGCATCCCATGGTGGATCATTCTGACAGGATGTGACACCTAAGAACCCAAATGACAAGACTCATGGAACCTCATGGCGTCACGAATGCCTGGTAAAAATAGAAGGAAATTCACCCAGTTTCTTATCCCCGGTAGAAACTGTGGTGAGTACGGTTTCTACTTTTAAATCTTCCTGGATTTTCCATGTCTTCTATGAGGACGTGCAAGACAGGGACCGGGTCTTGAAGAGGAAGTGGGGCGCCCGGTGCATGGCCCCCTTCCAGGGTGCCGCAGGGACTTCCTGGGGAGGTGCCCTGCGGGAGCGTGTGCAGGGCGTGCTTTGTGGAGGGGGCAGTGTGTACGGGGCCACAGGGTCAGGTGCGGGGAGTGAGGCCCGGCTGGCATCGGGCCCAGCTCCTTATCTGGCACCCTGTCCCCTGCTGGTGCAGTGGGAGGACCCGGCATGACCAGCTACCAGGAGACCTCTCCACGGTTGGCACTGCCCGTGACCTTGGCAAGCTGCTGTCCTCCTTGGCCTTGGTTTCCCTGTCTGTAAAGTGAGGGGTCAAGTCCTTCTCTGTCCAGTCGGGTCTAAAGGGACAGAGACTTAGGTGGGCCTGGCTGAGGCTTATGGCTGGGAGAGGGGAACAGGGCCTGAAGTGCAGCCCCAGGGCCCTCGTGAGTCCTGCGCAGGCTGTGTGGCCCCAGGACACGGGTGATAGCCACACATAGCTCAGCCACTTTCCCCTCCTGGAAACCCTCTCTGGTGGCCCTCCTCTGTGGCTCCAGACTCTGCACTGCCCCCTAGTATGTTGGTAGTGAGACCACACCTGGACACCCCCCACCAGCAGGTGGGGATCCTGCCTTGGAGGCCCCTGGGCAACCCTGCCCATCCACTCCCGCCCAGTGCTGGGGACCCCAGCTCCCCTCCCCTGACCAGCCCGGCCCTCACCTGGTGGTCAGGCCCTCCACACTCACCCCAGCCCAGGCAGCCCCCCCAGGCCACACAGGGCTCCTCCTACCCACGTTGCCTCTGCTCTGATTTCTGCACCTCCTTGTGTATCGGCGAGTGCCCAGGACCATCCTGTCCCCAACTGCCACCCCCCCATGCCCAGCCCCAGCTCGGGCACCACTTCCTGCCCAGCGACTCCCTGATCCTTCCTGGCTGATAGGCCCCACCAGGGCCCCCTCTCAGGGACGGTCCTGTCTCCCCCCTTGGTGACAGGCCAGGGGTGGTGTGTGGGACATGGTGTGGGAGTGTTGCTTTTCCAAGTTCCCGCAGCCGAGACTGAGCGGGAGTGGCCCCTCCAGGAAGCCTGCGCCCCCCAGTCAGGTTGAGGCCTGCTCCCCGCCCCCCAGTCTGGCTTCCCAGTCCCCTGTCCCCTGTCCCCTCCCAGATTCCTGCTTCCTCCTGAGGCTCCCTACAGAGCAAAGTCCAAACCATCTGCAGCCTTCTGGGGACGCCAAGACTCTGGAGAGAGAAGGCCTTTGCTCTTCTCAGAGCCTCCATGTTCCTGAATGGAAGTGACCCTGTTCCAGGGACCTCTGTGAGCAGGGCAGGGGCCAAGGAGATGGCCGGTGGTGCCCGGCCAGTCCCCTGCCCCTGCTTTCGGTCCTCGAAGGCTCCTGTCCACCCCTTCTCCTGGGCCCGGGTCTGACATCTCCCTGAAGGTCCCTGGGCACTGTCCCTCTGGTCCAGCTGGGCCTCCCTCTCTCGTCCCCAGGGCCATCCCCTGAGATCCCATGATCCTGGAGTCAACCAGGAGGCCAGCCTGGGCTGTGCCCATGTCCCATGGAGACTGAGGTCCCCCAGGGAGGCTTGAAGGTGGAGCAGCTCACCTGGTGGCAGGTGATGAACAGGGCAGCCCACACGAAGATGCCGGAGATGCCTCGGGCCAGCGCCGTGGTGAGAAAGAGCCGGGGGGCCTCCTGGGAGCCGTTCCCCACGGGGTCCATCTGTGGCCCGGCTGGCAGCACGGGCATAGCCGGCCTGGGGCTGGGCAGCGGCCAGGTCAGGGACGCCAGGGGGACTCCGGCTGTTCCTAGCAATCCTGAGGCGCCACTCATCTGCACAGGCGGGAGGAGGCGGGGAGAAGGCCCAGGGCAGCCTCCAGTGGCAGTCGCGCCAGGAGGGCGGGGGCGGGGCGGCTCTGCAGGCTGTGCCCCCCCAGAGCCTCAGCCCTGGCATGGCAGGGTGTCAGTCTCTGCCCGGCCACCGTGCCCTGCACATTCCTGGCTTCCTGGGTGGAAGGGCCACCTATGGCCACCTGTGCTCTCTGGGATTTGGGTCTGACCGTCCCATCCATGACCCTGACCCTGGCAGCCCTTGGCACCTCGCTGCACGGGGCCTGGGGTTCCTCCCTGCGCAGGGCTCAGCTTCGCTGCCCCGAGCCCCTTCAGTTTCCCTCAATGGGAAACTTTTCCACCCGGAGGCCTGGGCTTCCCGGAGCCCACACTTGAGGGGCCAAACACTACTTCCACTCAGGTGTGGGAGGGGGACCCTCCCCTCCTGCCTGCCCTGGGTGGTTCTGGGAGAGGCCCAGAGGGCCCTGTGTCCAGCAGTGGGGAGTATGCCAGCCCTTGCCCCTGCCCTCCAGGTCCCTGCGACCTGCTGGAACATGTCCAGGTACCAGCATGACCAGGTGCCCCTGGCCACCCCCACCTGCTCTCTGGCCCCGATGCCCTGCTCCTCAGTCTCCTAACAGGCTTCAGGGCACCTGGAACCTCCCTCTTTCCACCCGGCAGCCCGTGTGGCCTCCTCCCCACCCTCTGGCTGGCGGTCACAGGGCCCAGAGCTTACCTCCGCGGGCAGGAAGCTCTTTGGCCCGGCCCTGGGAGGCCTGGCCTCTGGGGAAGCCTGGCTGGTCATTTGTGTGACCATGCGGCCCCCTCTGGCAGCCTTGCAGGGACGGGGCAAGGCCGCTATGGGGAGTTCGTGCCAGGCCTGGCCTGGCAGGTGAGGCTTCACCTGCCCAGTGGCCCACCTGGTCTCCCAGCCAGGGGAGGGGCCAGGAGGAGGAGGGGCCAGGCCTGTCCCCTCCCCTGTGGACACTCTATCCTTCCTGGTTTGCTCAGGGCAGCTGGCTTCCAGGAACCCACCCGCCGGCCACCGGGTGCCCTCACCTGCCTGTGCCAGAGGCAGGTGGGAGGCGCTGCAGCGGGCCCAGGCGCAGTGAGTGGCCCGGGCAGGGGAGGGAAGGAGTGGGGGACTCATGTCACAGGCTTCCTTTTGGGTGATAAAGTTCTAGAACTAGACAGAGACAGCGCTGAACTGTTCATGTAAAAAATGGGTGAATCATATCATCATATTCCGTGAATTGTGGGTGCTTTGTGTTGTTGGGTGGCACTGGGGATTCACCCTAGGGGTGCTCTACCACTGAGCCACATCCTGACACTGTCCCCTCCTTTTGGTGGTGGGGACAGAACCCAGGGACACTTTACCACTGAGCCACACCCCAGCCCTTTTCACGGTTCATTTTGACTCAGGGTCTCACTAAGTTGCTGAGGCTGGCCTGGAACGTGCCATCCTCCTGCCTCAGCCTCCACGTGCTGGGATCCCAGGTGCGCCCTGCCCCACACCACACGGCTGACCTTCTGGCTTTGGGGGAGGGGGCAGGGAACGGCACACAGGTCACTCACTGGTCCTTGCTGGGTCTGTCAGCGGGGCTGGAGGGCCGGTTCCTCATGCCACCTCTGGGTCTCCTGTGGCGATGCAGGCAAGTCTGTTACAAAGCGGCCCCTCTGCCTGTGCTTGGTGCTTCTGCCCTTCCCTGATGCCCTGGCAGATAGGACTGTAGACTGTCCCCCTTTGCAGGTGGGACCTGGGACTCAAGGGGCTCATCCGTGTGTCCAGGGCTTGGGGCTGAGGCCCACCAAGCCCTGAGAACCCCACCCAGTTTCCCTCCCCCTCCCCACGTCGGCCCACCTGGCACCCTGACTCCCAGGCCCCACGTTGGCCTGGCCCTGACAGCCCCTGCTTCTGCGGTGCTGGCCCAGGGCCCACTCCTGCCCAGGGCTCCTCTGAGCCCTGCCTGCCCCTGCCTGGGACCTTCTGCTCTGACTCCCTCTCGGTGTCCCTGTCCTGTGGTCTCAGGTATCACCTCTGGAAAGTGTCCCCCTGTCCCAGACCTTCCATGTGAAGTTTGCTGGCTTGTGTCTGTCTCCCGTAGGGTGGTGCCTCGGCCGCTAGCTGGTCCTGCCTTGGAGGTGGCCCTCACTTCCGGTCAGTGGTAATGGTCCAGGGGCTTTGAAGCATAAAGATTGATGTCGGGATACGGTCAGGGCTTATCCGACCCACTCGTGCTTCAGTGGGTGGAAACTGAGGCTCTGGCCCCTTCCTGTTTTGTTTACAGAGCCCAGCATGAGATGAGGCCTCAGGTCCTTCTCTAGGCTGACAGTGGGAAAGACTGAGTATACAGCAGGAAGCACTGTGGTCAGATAGCAGAAGCACTTTCCTGGCTGGAGTCAGAGGGCCAGGACGCTGAAGAGCCCTGGTTTTAAGGCCTGGAGTCTAGCCAGGCCAGGAACTTCCAAACCTCTACTCTTTCCTCAGAGGCAGATCTGGGGAAAGGGAGGTCTGGTGATCTCCAGGACACAGCCTGAGATGCTCCTGGCCCTGAGGGTCACCGTCCTTGGGAAGCCCTTCAGTCATGGCTGCCCCCTCTCTGATGGTGGAGGCCAGGTGCAGTGTCCCTTCCAGATCATCCTCGGGGCTGCCCCACCTGATGTGCTCTGGTTTGGCCACTCCTCTGGGCGGGCCCCGAGAGACCAGGCCTGGCTGTGGAGCCCGTCCACTCCAGAACCTCTCGCGCACTCTGGGAATGGGCTTTGCTCATGCGACAGCCTCCCTTCCACCCAGGCCTGGGTCTTCTGTGTCCTCTACCCAGCCTTCCTCTCTGGCCTCCTGACAGAAGCACTTCCAGACACAGCCTGAGCCCTCAGCCCTTGTCCTGCCCTTGGCCTCTCTGTGAAGTGGGTGTCGTCCAAGGCTCGGTCAAGGTGGGAACTGGGTGAGTACCAGCCTGCCTGCCGCTCCTCGGGCGGCACCCACACCTGCTGCCTCACCTGCCCAGGCAGTTCCCATCGACACACCTCTGTGGTCCCCAAGTTCAAGCGGGGCCCAGGCACCCAACCCTTGCCCAACCGATTCCTGACCATCCAGCAGGCCACACCTGGGGTCCTGGGTGTGCGTGGCAGCTCTGCCCCAGGTGGACACAGCGGGATACAAAGCACCCTTAGGCACCGGGCTCCGACCCACCTTCCAGCAGGGAAGGCCCTCTGCCCGGCCTCTCCCTGAGCTGGTGCTGCCCCCTGCTGGGAACCTGGGGGACTCCAGGGTCTTCCCAGCAGCGGGATTCCAAGCTCTCCACAGCCTGGACTGCAGCCCCTCCTCCCCCTGAGCTGGCCCCATCTTGTGCAAACTGAAAAATGCCCAGAGTGGGAAGGGTCGGGGTGTCCAGCCCGGCCCCATATCCCCTAGGAGGATGCTAGTCTCATGGCCCCAGGGAGTCTGCGGGGCCTGACTGGGGCCCTCCTTGCCCTGTGCAACCTCCGGGCAGCCAGCACACACTGGTGACTGCTTCATACTGAGACGTGGCCAGACCAGGGAATGGAGCCCTCAGGCTGTGGCTGGGCACCTGTCAGCACTGGGCAGCACCACACAGGGACCCTATGGAGAGCATGAATCCGTTAGCCGCACTTCACAGATGAGAAAAACGAGGCTTAAGGGAGTTGCTTCCTTGAAAAGGTCATAAGCCTAGAAGGGGGGATGAGTGGGGAGGGGTCCCCAGAGTACAGACCTGTCCCCTACTCTGGCCTCTGAGTCCAAGGCCTAGGCCTTTCCCTCACCCCAGGCCTTTCCCTCACCCCTGCCCATCTCCACCGGGGCTGACCGGGGCTATGGTGGGAATCCACAGTCTTGCACAATGGCAGGCTTGCTGTCCCATGGCGAGGACTGCCTTAGTCCCCAGAGGGCAGGGGTGGTGACAGCCTAGAGCCCACAACCCTGTGCCCCTCCTGGCCAGGACTTCACCCCGCGTCCAGTAGCAGGTGTTTGCCTGGGGCCTGGAGGGGAAGGGCCACGGCCAGAACCTTCATGTCCCTGGGGCTCCACTCTGTCCCATAAACAGGTGGGTTGACCCCACTTCACTGCCCTGAGGACTGAGGCTGCGGGGGAGGGTGGTCTTGTTGGGAGCTCACCTGCCCCTGCCTCTTGGGCTGGTGACATCTGGCTGTAATGAAGGGAGGCAGCAGAGAAGCCTGGGACTGGGGGCTTTGGCCTGCCGTCCCTGCTAGGCAGGGCCGGAGACAACCCTCCCTTGCCTGGCTCTGGGATCAGGGGAGGGCTCGTAACCACAAGGCTCTCCCTGGGGTCCAGACCCCCAGCAGAAGACGACATGCAAGGTGTGGCCTGTCCCCAGGTAGGTATCTGAGCAGGAGCCTGGTGAGAGGCTGACCGTCTTGCCTGCTCTCTCACCCGCTCTCTGGCTGGGTGAGGCTCTGCCCTGAGGCCAGTGTCAGCCCACACCACTCAAGAGAGGCGCTGGGCAGGCCAGGCCTGATTTCCCTGTCAGGGGGCTGGACACTGACCAAGCCCAAGGCAGCCCAGACCTCTGACCACTGTTTGCTGTGATCACGAGACCTGGCTGACCTGGCAAGCCCAGTGCCCGGGGAGGTTGCAGGGAGGCTGAGAAGCTGCTGGGCCTGTCCGTGCCTTGCTCTTGTCCCTCCTGTCTTGGCCCTGGCCGAGCTGCCTGCCCTTTGCCCGATGCCCCTGGCTCCTGGCCTGCTGCCCTGTTGCAGCCTGGTCTGCGACCTACCCCCTCCCCTTGCTTTCCTCCAGGGGAGGCTCAGATCCTGCCTTACCTCCCTCCCTCTGCACCAAGTTGCCCTAGGGCTCCAAGGCCACTTCCAGCAGCCAGGGAGTGAGTCCCCCGCCCCCCAGTCCCCAGGTCCTGGGCCTGCTAATTAGTGTCTACACCTACTGCCCTGGGGCCTGGGGGCAGGGCAGCGGGACTCATCCCCACACATCAGCTCTCCCAGGCTAGGCCACAGGTCCTCGGGCTTCCCGCCTGCCACCGTCCTGTTCTGGATGTCCAGGGAGGTGGCCACCAGCATTTGCCCTGGGCTTTTTTGTTTCAGTAGTGCCAGGGCAATGACCAAGCTAATGCCCACCCAGGGTGAGGCAGGATGGTGGCAGTCAAGGGCTCCTTGTTAGTCAAGGGCTCCGGGTGGCCAGGCCTGGGGTCAGAGGTAGGGGGCCTCTGGTTGAAAGGACTGGAGGAGGAGCTCAGTCTGGCTGTCCTCCAACCTGGGGACTCTGGAGCCACCTCTTCCCTCTCTCTGGGTCTCCTCCCAGGTCTCGTCCTGGGACCCTGTGACCCCAGCACACCTTTCCCCTCGTCCTCAACACGCAAGCAGCTCTGCCTCCTGGTGGCTAAGATGCTGTTCCTCACCTGAGACGGAGCAGCCCCCGGAGTCAGGACTGGCTATTCTTGGTGTCTGAGAAATTGAGTGAACCCTGGGCCAACCTGAGCCTCAGTTTCCCCTGGCAATCTGAACCCCCCTGAATGGCCAGTGCACTCAAAGCGTGGACTCCTTGTGGTGACCACAGATTCCTGAAGGAGTGCCTGCCAGGCCAGCAGGGACCCAGGGCTCTGCTGGCCCACTGTTCACAGCCAGGTGAGGTGGGGGTGGCCTCTTGCTCCCAGACAAGACACAGACTTGTCTCTGTGCCCACTGGCCCCAAATCTCAGGGGGTAGCATCTTGGGGACCCCACAAGGGCCTCCGACCTCATTCTGCCAGCTGGCCCGCCCCTCCCTACACCTGTGCCCACTTCCACCCCTGGCCTTCAGCATCAGTCCCCAGAGAGCGCCTGCCAGGGCTTGCCTGGGCCTGCCACTGCCTCAAGGTGAGCTGCCAGCCTGGGTGTGACCGAAGGGCCCTTCCATCTGGATCGGGGCATGGCCCTACACCCTCTTTTTATCAGGTGACTTCCTGGGACAGTGAGGGGCCAGACTCTGGGGGAGAGCTGAGGCCGGAGCAGATGGCTACTCTCAGAATCTCAGGAGGGGGGTTTTCTCTAGGTACCCCCACCCCGAGGCCCCGGCCTGAACTCAGCCCCGCTGAGCGGCCCCACACCCACTCACCTCCCCTGGCTCCTAGCCGCCGGCAGGGCCCGTTGGGCAGGTCTGCAGCTTTGGATTTCCAGACAAGGGATACCCCCAGGCCTGGAGGGTGGCTGAAGGGATGTCCCTCAGTGGCTGACACCCTCCTCACAGTAGCCGGGACAGCACGGGTCCCTATCACTGGCCTCTCAGAGCCCAGGCTCCTCCCAGCCTGGCTGGCCCTACCTGCCTGAGCAGCCTCTGCTGGGCCCCACCCTGCTGGGGCCACACCCGTGGCCACCCCCAGCCCAGAATCTGGGACCAGCCATTTGCTCCTGTCCCATCCACCTGCTCCTCCCTCCTGCCCACAGGCCTGGGCCTTAGCGTTGCTGCCACCTGTGCCCATTTGTTTTGGCCATGGATTGAGTTATGTGTCCACTGCAACTCTCTGCCCAGGGCGTGGGTGGGTGGCGATGCCCATGTCACAGGTGCACTGAGGGTTCTAGTGACCAGTCCGTCCTCCTCTGGCCCTTCCCTCTGTCCATGCTGCTGCCTCTCTCCTTCTTTGGGCCTTTTACCCCTGAAGAGCCCGAGGGAGGCTCCGGACAGGCACTGACGCCCAGCTCTGGTCATGACCCCATTCCCACCCATTCACAGGACACCTGTGTCACAGCTGGCAGCCCTCTGTGGACTGAGAACCACAGTCCTCTGGCCTGGTGGACAGGGATGAGCTCGGGAAATGGGCGGGGAGGCCCTGGCGAGCTGGCTGGGAGGCCAAGTTAGAACTGGCCTCGGGGAGGTCGCTGCTGGGGCCCGAGCCTCAGTCTTCCCATCTGTGAAGTGACCTCAGTGCTCCTCCTCCAGCGGTGGCAGTGGGGCCAGAGAGCCTGCGTAGGGCCAGTGTTGTCCGAAGACCTCTTTCTTTTCCAGCTGCCCTGTTCCTCCTAGCGCCTCCCCCGGGCCTGTCTTGTACCCTCTCCAGCCCTGGCATGTGAGGGTGGCCTGTCCCCCGCCCTCCAGGCCTTCACAGCTGCTCTGGACAGGCTCATGGCCCCCTCCTGGGGCGCTCGAAGGATTGTCCACAAGTTCTCAGGTGTAGCACCTGCCACATCCACCTCACCCTGGGCATTCTGGGCCCAAAGCACAGTTCTTATCAAAATGTCCCCAAACGTACTACCCTGTTTCTTGTTGCAAGGGCAAACTCTAAGTCACAGTGACAGTGTCTCTGCAGCCACTGTTACACTATACAGGCCTTGGACGACATCTCACCAGCTGCCCGTTCCAGTGGTGGACCAGGGCTCCTCTTCTGACTCCAACGTCACTTCCTAGCTCTCAATGAACCAGATGAGGCCAGCTCCCCGCCTGGTCTGAGTCTCCTTGTGTGGGTTGTCTCAATTGGCTGTGAGGAACCCAGGACTCTGTCAAGCCCTGGACGAGCTACCTGAAATGATCAAGAACCACCACCCTCCTGGTTTTCCTGGCCTCCACGGTGCCCAGTACCCTTGGCTGAGCAGGGACACACTCCCCTGTCCACTGAGAGAACATGGCCTTTCAGAGACACCCTGAGGCGGCCCGCGGCACAGGCTTGCAGGAAATCTCCCCTGCTGCGTGTGCAGGGCTGGCGAATGAGCCCGATGTTCGTTATTTATGTTTGGCTGTAAATGGTTGGAAGCGTTAATTACAGCTGGATTGCTGGGTAAGCACCACCCGCAGCCTTTCCATCTACAGGATGACAATTTCTGCCCAGCAGACAGCCCTGTTGTGGAAACTGCTGGCTCTCGAGATTGCCTCACTGGGCCAAAGCACTTTCCTGACTCCTGCAGCTGGGAGCAGAGGGGGGGCACACAGAAATCGAGGTCCACTGGGCCTCTCACCCAAGTCCAGCGTGCACTGGGTTCATGAGGCAGGGCGGAGCCGAGCGGAGCAGGAAGGTACTGGCTCAGGAGCTGAGGCATGAGGCTCAGACTGTATCTTAACAGCGACCAGACAGCTTTGGGCAGCTCCAAGTGACTCAGAGGTGCCATGGGGGAACAGGGTGCAACCACGGGTCATCTCCAGCCCTGCTTCCAGGCAGGCAGCCTGGGGTCTAGCCGGCCAGAGGGCTGCCTTATCCCCAGAGAAGGTCTCAGTAACAACCTGATCTTCGTGGGCCTCAACTGTCTCCACTACCCACCTTCAAGGGTGGCCCCTGGGACCCAAATAGGCCCGCGGTCTGCCTGGACCTGGCCCTTCAGAGGTCCTGAAAGAGGAAAATCGAACCAGAACCAGACAGGAGCCTGGAGGCAAAGCTGCCTGTGACATCCTTTTAAGCTGTGACTTAAAAGGAGCCAGAGTGGGGCTGGGGATGTGGCTCAAGCGGTAGCGCGCTCGCCTGGCATGCGTGAGGCTCGGGTTTGATCCTCAGCACCACATACAAACAAAGATGTTGCGTCTGCCGAAAACTAAAAAAAAAATAAATATTAAAAAAAAAAAAAAGGAGCCAGAGTGCAAGTTACCAAGGGACCCGGTGACTAGGGAACAGTGGGGATCTGGGCGCCTGGCCTGGATTCAAATCCCAGCTTGTCATCAGGAGCAGCAATGTGACCTCTCCATGCTGTCTGCTACTGGTGGTGGAGTGGATGGCTGTGAGGGTGACAGGGTCACCAGCGCAGGCCCTTGAGGGCCCAAATCAGAAAACTGAGGCTGCAGATGTGAACTCAGGCCAGGACTTGAGTCCTATCCAGGTTGCGTCCCCAGATGTCAGGTAAGGAAAGCTGTGGTGCTTGGACAAAGCTGTCTAATTTGGGGATGATGGGCACCATCAAACACTGAACAAAGACTTGTGCCCCGTGCCAGCTCTAAGACACCAATCTGATGCTGCCAGGCCCTTGCTCTGGGTCAGGCTGAGTCTTCAAGGTGGGTTCTGGCCCCTCCCTCCCAGTCACCCCCCAGCCTCAGGGGTTCCTTACTCCCGCAGTGGTGTGACCCATGCCTGTCCTCCCTCTTCCCTTAGTCCACTCCTTTGTGGCCTGGAAGAGTTGTGGAGTCCAGGCACTGGGCTCCTGAAGGGAGGGGCCTGTGACAGGAAATGAAGAGGGAGGGGGCAGGGCAGGCTGTAGGGGCTGTCAGAAGGCCCACAGGAGGAGGCTGGCCTAAGCCATTGTCTGGGGAAGGCTGTAAAAAGCCACCTGGGAGTCCCTGGGCCAACAGTGGTCACTGGGGTCCTGACTACCAGGGACGGTTTTACAGCCACAGGTGAGAGGTTGGGGCTGCCACGGGCCCTGGACCACTCTCACACTTCCTTCAGGAAATCTGTCAGGATCCCCACATTGACTCCCTGACTCTCCTTGAGCTCTGAGCTGTCTTTGCCTACAGATTTTTTTGAATGTCTGCTGGGAAGACTAGGAGGGCAGACATAAAGGGTAACAGCATACAGCAGGCACTTGACCTGCTGAAGGAACAGCTTGTAGGCTACCAGTTTTCCTATCTTTACTTTTAGCACATTCACTTTCTAAATTTACCAGCAGTGAATCTGAACCCATCTACCCACTGCCTGTTCCTAGAGAAAGGTTCTAAAAGCAAGAAAACAGCAGGACCTTAGAGTATGCTGGTGCTCTCCTGTGATCCCAGCTACCCAGGAGGCTGAGGCAGGAGGATCCCGAATTCCAGGTTAGAGTCTGTCTCAAAATAAAATAAAAAGGGCTGGAGGTGTATTTCACTGGTAGACACCCCTGGGTGCAATCTCCAGTACCACAAAGAAAAAAGAAAAATTGCTAGAATACAGGAGTCTTTGGCTCAGACAAAAACCAAATAAAAATATCCCTTCCTAATTTCATGAGCACACGGGTGCTGTGAGCCTTCTACGTATCCGCTCTGCCAGGGCCCCCAGGTGCTAGCTTGCTCTGCAATCCTGTCAGCTTCTGCTGTATGCCCTCCTCTCCTAACTTCCGCTGCCTCTTCCTCACTGGAGACTCAGAGAGCCAGATGGTGCAGATTCCACCTTCTGGAACTCCCCATGCACTGCGATCAGCAATGTTTCCCCCAGTGCGGCGGAGGGGAGCCAGGCCCCAGCCTGAATTCCTCAGAGGCGTGCGCACCACAGGCAAGAGTTGGGGAGTAAATGCCCCAAAGCTGATGCCCAACCCTGGTTCCTACCGATCCTTGCAAACATCTCCCACGTGTACTTCTTTGTCTTTTTTTTTTTTTTTTTCAGGGGTGGTGGTGCTGCTGCTGGGAATTTAACCTAGCGCCTGGCAGCATTTCTAAAGGCCACCTCTGACCTAAAACCCTTCAAGACCCCGCTGAGCTCAGGGTGGTCCTATAGAAGGCCTTCAGCCCCATCATAGAAATCATGTCCACCCTGGCAACCCTCCTGGGGTGCTGCCCTTGCTGTGCCTGCCATGCCCAACTCCTAGACATGCTGTTCCTCCCTGACACATCCTTCCTCCACACTCTGCAGCCTGGGCTCTCTGGCCCCACTGAGGAGCCAGTACAAAAGCTAGCAGAATGGAAGCTGGCACTCAGAGGAGTCACAGAGAGGACTGTGTGCAGACACATTTGGGATTCATGTCGTTCCCATCAACCAGACTGCATTTTTGACAAACATGAAGTTTTCTTTCCACCTAAGGTATACTAGATTGTACTTTCTGTATTACTTAGTATTGTTAAGAAGTATGGTGAGGATTTGGGGATACATATTTACTTTTAGTTTTAAAAAACCTCCCTCTACAAATGATTCCCCACACTGAGGGCCACAAGTCACACTGGCTGACTGGTGCTTTCCATCCTCACGTAGATGCACCTCGGGGAGGCCAAGGCACACCTTCTGCTTCTGCCACCTTCACGATGCAGCAACCAGTGAGTCCACCTGAGCCATGAATGTTTTTTCCAGCTTCAACGGCTAAAGTCAGAAGAAGTCTTTCCTCCTGGTTGTGCAGGAGGGAGGGTCTTCGAGACCCCACAAGGGGACTGAGCTCCTGCATAGTCCTGTTAAATGGTGCGCACTTCTGATCCAGGTCACCATACCTGGCACACCCGGATCACCTCCTTCAAGGCCTTCAGCCCTTCAACACTCTTGTCCTTCACGGCCATGGCCAGGAGAACCGCTCTGTTTCCAGCTTCTTGAGACACGAAGGCTACCAGGTTCTTTGCAAAGACATGGATGAGAGGCTGGAGGAGAGAAGGCAGAAACCACCGTGACTGCAGGAAACCTGGCTTTCCTTGGTACTTGCATTAAGCATCCCACCTTGATTTGCTTCCCACACCGCACGCGGTTAGCTCCATGAAGAAGTGATTCAGAGCTCAATGAGACTTCACACTGCAGGCATATACCACCTGTTAAAGAAGCACCATCAAACTTATTTCCCTGGTGTCTTCTGCGTCCCTGTCTCTCTACATATCTCTACTCTGGAAGGACTCATGAAAGGCAGGCCTGCAGAGGAGAGCCTGTCAAGGCTCAGCAGAGAGCCACTCATTAACACAATGAATCACGACAGGATCAGAGGAGGCGGCCTGCGTTACAGAATCACCCCCTATACAACTGCTGGACAGGATGCTGCCTAGCCCGCAAAAGCTGCGGCAAGGGCAGGCGGGTGCCCTAAGACCCTCAGAGGTGTGGGGAATGCTGTGGCTGTGTGCGTGCTGAGTACCAGATACTCCACATCCTTCCTACAGTGCACAGCCAGGCGAGAAGGCGCTCCTCCACCCCGGGTCCCTTCCAGACCACTTTACCTCGTCCTGCCCGAGGAGGACTCTCGTGGTGAGCACCGGCTTGCTGATGTCGCTGGCCACGTTGCTGGGCTCCAGGGAGACCAGGGTGCCCATCTTCCCGAACTGGGTCACCACCACCAGAATGTGGCTGCTGAAGGCTGTGCAGACCACCTGAGTGGGGACCCCGCACACCACCTCCGCCTTGTGTTTCGACACCACCAACGGGCTGCTTTCCATGGCCCTCCTCTCCGCGGAGGCTTTGGTTTAAACAGGGAAAGGAGTCGGCCCAGCAGGGTCCGCACAGTCAGGGTCCCAAACTATGAGCCAGCGGCTTTGGCGCGGGGGCTCCGGCGGCTCAATTGGAAGCAGGCGTGCGTCCGCGCGGCACCTGCCCGGGCTTTCCGGCGCGCTGTGCACCCACACACCCGCTCCGGGTCCCCAGCCGCCGGGCCCCGCTGCCACCCAGGGCTCGGCCCGAACCCCCAAACGCAGCCGCGTCTACCAGGAGGAGATTCAAAGGAGCCGAACCCACGAGCTCACTCACCCACTAGGCCGGAAGTGGCTCTGCCTGCTCCCGCCGGAAGTGTAGGCCGTGGCTTCCGGTCGCGGCCGCGCGGCTCTGGGTCCGTGGGGCTCCGGTCCCCCCACCAGCGCCGGGGTTCCGCGCCGCCAGAGGGCTGGGCTAGCGGACCCGCCCGCGCCTTCTAGGGAGCGTTGGGGCTCAGGCCTCCCGGCCTTTGGGACCTTGGAAACTGAACCCTGTGGGGCGAGCTGCGAGCCCGGCGCGGCCCGATTGGTGGGCAGGGGTCTCAGCGACAGTGGCGAACTCTATTTTCTCTGGCATGGGCGGGGGGGGGGGGGCACCGAGCAAAGGCTCGGCACACTGCGACCCGTCCAGTCTCCGCACCTGCTGGGCGATCCGCTCGTGACCCAGGCGCTCTGGCCACCTGGAGACCCTTCCCCTGGGCCGACTGTCCCTCCGCCGACTGCCGGTCACCGCCGCACACCTCTCCCCAGCTCTCCTGTCCAAGATCCTTGTCCACCTATGAACCCTAAGGCAGCCCCAGGCCCTGGCGGCCCCCCTCCCTCTCCTGCTGGTTTAAAGACCCCCTTATCCAATGTCAATCAGGTACCAGAAACTTCCAAACTGCTTCTTCCAAACTGCTTCCTCGGTGGAGTAAAATAAAAGGCATGCCTACAAAACATGATCAAAATAGACAGAAATCAAGAGGAAATTCATGTTTTGAGCCTCCTTGCCGTCGACACACAAACGCAAAGATTACAGTTTCATAGTGCTGATCCTCAAGAAGCAGGAAACATCAATTTCTCAGCAAAGTCTTTTTGTCAGTTCTGAATTTAAACACCCATCCACCCATCCACCCCCACCACACACACCCAAAGCAAATTGCCAGTGTGTGGCTTCACCACGTGAAATCTTCAAAAGAGGCACTGATTTTTATTCACCTATTTGTGTATTCTCTCTCTCTCTCTGAGGCACAGAGACTTGAGAAATCTGACTCTCACGCAGACAAGAACCTCTGAAATAAACTTAGCACCTCGGATGTTGGAGTACAAGGTGCACTACATTTTGATGACACTTTTAAGCAAACCTGTAAGGAACGGTCATTTGCCTGCTTTGGGTCTAGATATGTGATAAAGAGAGAGTATGAAGGAACACAGGTAAAGGTCGATCTAGGGCAGACCTCAGCTTCTGGTCCTGGAAGGTGGTGTGTGTGGTCGAGGGGACTTCCTGGTGGCCTAAATGGATGTGTGGACAGAACTTCTACAGTTAGGAGAATGGAAGAGGGTCTCATTACCCGCTGTTGATTGTTCTCCAGTGCAAGGGGGTAATTGCACTGGAAAGAAGAATTCTTTAACTAAATTCATTTTAAATGGGAATCAAATAGTCATAGAGTCAATAGTGGGACCGGAGTTTAATTAAGAGGTTATCTTGAAAAATGAAAAAAAATTCCCCCATCTCATAAATTTGTCTTATATTCAGTAAATTTTAGGTTATGAATGAATTTATGAGTTAATTTGTAGAAACGACAAAGAATCAAGTGTTGATTTGGTTGGGTCGTATTTTTCCCCCAACAAATCGTATGATAGCTCCCATAAAGAGGCTTGGCTTATTGAAAATTTGCAAGGGTGCCATCAATTTTCCCAAGAGCCTCTTTTAATCATTTGATATTCAAATAGTTTCTTGTTGAAGTGCCATCCAGTCCTGAGCCTTGGCAGGTTCCTCATTCCCAGGCGTTTGCCTGTCTAGCTTTGCCAGGCCTTCCCATGCTTGCCAAAGGCTTTGGGCGCCATCTGAGCATTCCCAACCTTCCATTCACGGGCTTCCTTACATCTTGCATCTCTGGAAAGATTCACACTTGACCTTGGCTTTCACAGTCCGGCCACAGCTTACTGGTCCTATCAGTACCAACGGGGGAGGGTGCAGGAGTTACATGGGGAGGGAGGTTTGACTGGACATCAATACACAAAAGGCCAAATCATTATTCAGAAACATTTTGTGTTATGATGATGATTTTTGACCCTTCTGTCACTCCATCACTGCACGGATTCAGATGGACAGATCTTCAGATGGTGAGACCTCCCTGGAGAAAACTCCAAGTAGCACCACCTCTTTGGCCCTCACTAACTATGATTTTGGGTGTTTGTCCTGTTAATCTGAGTTCCTCAGCTTCAAAATGAAGAGAGCAGTTGTTGTATGTGACTTGTTGAATTTAAGGAGATGGTTCTGTGGTTCGTGTACAGTGATTCACTGAAATGTTACACACTTAGCTATTAAATTTGTTATTACTGACTCTTTTTCCCATTCTTTTTTTTTTTTGGAGGGAGGAGTGGATTACTGGGGATTGAACTCAGGGGCACTTAACACTGAACCACACCCCCAGCCCTGTTTTGGATTTTATTTAGAGACAGGGTCTCACTGAGTTGCTTGGCGCCTTACTTTGAACTCCTGATCCTCCTGCCTCAGCCTTCCCAGCCGCTGGGATTACAGGCATGCAACACTGTGCCCAGCCTCCCCATTCTTAAATTTTGAAAATTCTGTGCTATATACCAGTTGAGAAGCAGTGTGAGCACAGCAATCAGGACTCAAAAGGACCTGCTGTTTGTTGCTCTTGACCCATATGGCCAGAACCAGAAGTCGCTGTCTCCTAGCTTCTGGGAGGATGACCTTCAGACTCTACCCAAGCATTGGTCTTGTGCACGTGATCTTCCCTCTACATTTTTTGTGAGATGTGATAATAGGTAGAACCATTTTATTTATATAAATGATAATCATTCTCATTCTTGCTTCTCTCAGCCAGTCTTTTAAGAGAAGCTGCTAGAAGAAGCCAGGTGCAGCCGGAGTGAGACATTAGATACAGCTACTTTATTATATTTAGATTATGGATATTTTGGACTGAATGAGGGAGGATGTGTGTGCCCATTAAGATTCTTTCAAGGGTGGGTGACAGATGCCTGTGAGGATCTACTCCCCTGCAGGGAACAAATGAGCTCTCAGGTGAAGAGACCCAGAGACTCACAGGGTCCTCTGGTGTGTCTGGACTTGGCACTTGGGCTGGCTTCATTTATTCCCAGATGGGCGGCTCCCTTGTGACGGTGCCATTGCCACAGGCCCAGGTCATACCTCAGCAGCTTTTCTTGCCCAGTATTTCTAATGACAATCCTAGGACAGACCCTCTCTTGACCAACCTGGATCTCTTGCCTGTCCCTAAACCAACCACTTTAAAAAAAAATTAATTAATTAATGTAAAAGTAATCTCTCCTGCGTTTGGGAGCTAAAAAAAAAAAAATGTTTCCCAATGATGCAGGTCAAAGATGAAATCATCACAGGAATTCCACAATATATTCAACTCCTATTCTTCCTCTGCTGAAAATGGCCAATCTGTTTTCTGCTCTGTGGATTTGTCCCTCTAGACATTTCACACAGATGAAGTCACAGGCTCTGTGGCCTCTTGCATCTGGCTGCTTCCTGGAACAGCACATTTCTGAGGTCATACACGATGTGCCTCCTTCCTTTTGGAGAAACCGATTCTTGCCAGATGCTTGGGCGAGTTAAACAGCATCACATTTACAAAAGGGCCTCCTTAGGGCCTGGTGTGTGAGAGGTGCATCTTGGCTTCTTTCCCTTCTGGGTCACAGGAATCCACTGTGGTAGCACCTGTGCAGAGGCACCTGGTAATTATGATTTTTTTTTTAAAAGAGAGAGAGAGAGAGAGAGAGAGAGAGAGAGAGAGAGAGAGAGAGAGAGAGAGAGAATTTTTAAAAAAATATTTTTTAGTTTTCAGCGGACACAACATCTTTGTTTTTATGTGGTGCTGAGGATCGAACCCGGGCCGCACACATGCCAAGCGAGCGCGCTACCGCTTGAGCCACATCCCCAGCCGCTGGTAATTATGATTTTGAACCTCTGCTTCTCTAGGCTCTTGTAAGAAGCAAAAAGACTAGAGATGGCAACATATCCATTCCACCTACCTCCCTAATTCCCCTTGACTGGATTGAAAATGTCTAAAAAGCCTCAAGGCCTCAGTCCTAGTGACCATGGGCTGACCTCACACCAGTCTGTGGGTCCATCTTCATGCGAGTGACCCTGCAGCTGCAGATGACAGATGTCAGGCCCTGGGCTTCAGCTCCCACGTGGGTCTCACCAGTGCCCTTCCTTGCCTTGCCTCTAGCTGTGTGTGACTTACTCTTGTGGCTTTGCTATGTGCACACTTGCTGGGCAGTGTGCCCTGCACACAAAGGCCGCAAAAACTCTTGAGTGAATCACAGTGCACACACATACAGAGCTGCTCCACCCGACAGAAACCACCTTTTGCAGCATCCGCTTATCTGAAAAAAATATGATGCACAATTGATTTTTTTCAAACTATGATAATCAAAATTGGGGGCCGGGCAGAATATAGGGAAGATAGTTATAGTTGAGGTTTTTGGAGGATAAAAGATTAAAAGCAATCAATTTGAAATTACATGTATTTTATTACAAAAGCAAAGCTCAGGGTTGTCCATGTGAATTTCAAAATTTTTCCTACAGGGAAATGAATGAACATCAGCAAAACCAAATCCAGGCTGGGCACCGGGGCTCTCACCTGTAATCCCAGTGGCTTGGGAGGCTGAGACAGGAGGATCGTGAGTTCAAAGCCAGCCTCAGCAAAAGCAAGGCGCTAAGCAACTCAGTGAGACCCTGTCTCTAAATAAAATACAAAATAGGGCTGGGGATGTGGCTCAGTGGTTGAGTGCCCCCAAGTTCATTTTCTGTCTCCACCCCCCCAAAAAAAAACAAATGGGGTTGTGGCTCAGCAGTAGAGCAGTTGCCCAGGATGTATGATGCACTGGGTTTGATTCTCAGCACCACATAAAAATAAATAAATAAATAAAATAAAGATATTGTGTCTACCTACAATTAAAAATATTTTTTAAAAGTCCAGTTTATAAGAAGGATCTGGGAAGAGGTTCATTCAGAAAGGGAGCCATGGAAGACAGTAGGGTCCTGAGCTGCCTCAGCACAGGATTCCCAGGGAGGCCAGCCTCCCGTATGGACATGAGGAGACTGTTAGGCCCGCTCAGCCGGGGCAGGACCCAGCAATGACCTGACATTTGGAGTTTTGCTGTTGTTTGGTACCAAGGATTGAACCCAGGGGTGCTTGACCACTGAGTCACATCCTTAGTCCCTTTT